GGGGGGGGGGGAAGGGGGGGGGGGAGGGGGGGGGGGGGGGGGGGGGGATACACGCGCTGGCCTGGGCACGGAGAGGCTGCCCTGAGCCCAGAAACCAGCCATGGCCCAGGGCTGCAGATCCCCAGCGCCGGTACACAGGACAAGAACCCGCTTGCACTGCCTTCGAATTTTCCTCATTTTTTCCTAGTGCTGAGTGTCTTGGACTTCAAGCGCCAACAGTGCCGATTCCTTTTCAGTTCCACTTTTAGCACAGCAACGAATGAAAAAGCCAAAGGGCCAAAACGCTCTGCAAGGCCTGTGACTTCCACTGCTTGACTGATGATTTATTAGATGTATATCCCACCTTTTTTTCCTTCTAAGGAACTCAGAGCAGCTTATACCGCTCTCCTCCTCCTGCTCTCCATCTGATTCCCACAACAACAACCCTGCGAGGTAGGCTGGGCTGGGAGTCTGTGGCTGGCTCCAAGTCGCCCAGTGGGCTCCGTGGCTGAGCGGGGACCTGGACCCGGCTCGCCCGAGGCCCAGTCCCGCGCTCTTAACCACTGCACCGCACTGCCTCTCTGCACGTGCAGAGGGGCGAGCCAGCCTTCCGCTCGCGAGCTGCTCCTGCTTTTTGGTCGCCGTCTACACGGGGAGACATTTTCCTCCCCCACCCCCTCACCCCGGATCCGCTGAGCCCTCCGGGGGTGAAGGAGTTAACCCCTTCGGCGCAGGGCGGGCTGCCGCCGAGGCGTCTGCCGCGCGCTGCTAATTGCGCGCAGGTGCTGCCCGGCCAGCGCCACGTGCCGCACGCGCAGAAAAGGCGCCGAGACGGCGCTGCTCACGATGCCTGTTTGCGCCGGGCCGGCGCTGCGCTCTGCCCGTGCTTCTGCCCGGCTCGCGTCGAAGAGGAAGGGAGCCCTTGGAGCGCCCAGGTACGCCTTGCGCTTCCTCGCCTTCTGGCTGGGTGGGTTGCCAACGGCTGGTGGGGGAGCTGCTCCTGTGCCGCTTGCTGGCGGAGGCGGATCTGCAAGGTGCTCGGCTGGGCTGGCAGCAGGAGCAGCTCCACGAAGTGCTCCTGCCGGCGCTCCGATCCAGTCCGTTTTGCTTTGCGCTTTTCCGCGCAGCACGCGACTTTGGCGCGTCTCTGTATCCCTTACACGCCCGCTTCTGCGTCCCTCCGGAGTTGCCATCTGATTGTGCTGGGGCTGCTCCTGTGTCCCCAGTAGAGGCTGATGATAATGGCCCTCGGGGCTGGTCTTGCCTTCACCCCCTCCCTGGCATGCTTCCTTGTCCATGTGGTGGATGCTGGGAGTTGGAGTTCCTGCACTTTTAGAGGGCGCTAGGTGAGGGAAAGGAGCCACGTGGTGGCCGCTGCAGGGCCTGGTATTGGGTGTCGGGCGAGGTTAAGACGTTATTATTTAATTAACGGTGACTGTGTCTTTTCTGTCTGCTTTCTCCTCTGTCCCCTTCCTGTTCTTTTGTTCTGCATGGCTTTTTCCAAAGCTTCTCTTCCTTGAATGCGGAATTTGTATTTCTGCCCTTTGTTAGGCTCGTAGGCAGAAGTTTGGGGCTTGTTTGGCCTTTGGTTTGTGGGGTCTGCCTAGCATACGAAGCCTAGCCCTGTAGTCCTGATTTGCAAAAGATCTGAGTGCAGTGGGTGGCTGGATTACAGATTTCCAGGTGGTCTGCCCTAGCTTGGCAAGGGTTTTTGACCTCCAGTCGTTTAGCAATGGCAGGGGGTGGAGCACTGGTCACTCTGCCCCAAATTAGGTCACCGAAATGACACACGTGTGTTTGGGGAAAGCAATTAGGAGTCTGCAGGTGAAAAAGCTTTTCAGCATTTAATTTTGTTATGCAGAACAAATTTCTGGGCTGAGACCCACCCAGCGGAGGAGGACCTGGACCTTAATTCTGGCCCCAAGTTGCTCTTTTTCATTTGGATCTGGCTGTGGACATTCGTAGCAGTACTTCCACAACCACACGCACACCTTGGCTCTTTTCCTTTTGCAAGAAGCCGGGATGGGCTATGTGAGCTTCCATTTTTGCCCACGAAGATCAATGAGCTTCATGTCTGAATGTAATCACGAACCCTCTTCCCGAGAGTTGTGATCTGCCATGCCAGCCGTTACACCCAGAGCCCCGCCCCACCGCACGCCCTCTTTGGACCCATAAGCCCATCTGGGAGCTTGAGAATCTGCTGCGGGCACCATCACAAAATGGCAGGGGATGGGGCAGGGAAGATGCAAGGCTAGAAAGGAGTTGGCTGGGGATGGAAAACGAATAGTGAGGCTGTAGACAGCCTTGTCTGCAGGCAAAGGGGAAAGATCTTTGGAGACAGAAGATGGAGCGTCTGGTTTGCAGCAAGTTCAGGAGGAGGTAGGAGACCCTGGTGCCTGAATACTTTCCCAGGCCTGTTTTGAAGAAGGCCAGGAGTAGACATCTTTGTGGGCACCCTGTTGGGGAGCCCTCCCACAGCAGTAGAGGCCTCCCAGGTTGTAGTAGAAAACAAAGTGGATCTTTTAAGCCTAAACTAAGTCCAGCCATATAAAACAGGGACAGAAGTTATATGGTGCCCATATGAACGGCGCATTGTTCAGTTTTAACTGGGTGCTGAACAGGTGGCAATGCTGGTGTGAGACGGATCTCGCTTGGAAGAGCATTCCAAGAAGGGGGTCGCCCACCACCAAGAAAGCCCCCTCCCTTGCTCCCTTGGAGACCCTCTGGCATTGATTACTGCGCATGTTTAGGCTCGGTGTGGCCCTCCTCACGAGTGCATCTGCTCTGGCCTTTGCATGTATGCAAGTCTCACCTGGTCTGTCCTTTTCCTGAGTGCCACCAGGTATCCTTTTTGGCTCCTTGTCTTATTTCGGGCATTCAACTCCTTTCAGCCAGAGGACCAAATGCAATTTTAGAGATGTTTTGGAGACTCGGGAAGCCCTTTCCCCTGGGATGGTGGGCCAAGAACCTGGCAAAGCTCAGCTTAAAGCTCCCCCTTCCAGTCACAGCCTTTAGAGGTACCTCAGCCTTCCAGAATGAGGCTAAAACCAGGGAAAAGGCTGGAAAACATCAACCCAACCCCTGGCTGCTGGGGAAAAGGGCGGGCCTAGATGCCGGCAAAGCTACCTGAAGGGCCTGGCTGTGCTTCAGGTGTGTCTGCCTTGGCTTGCGGGTGTGGAGTTTGGCACCCAGTCTAGCCAGTGGCCTGTCCTTGCTTCCCCTTGCTGTATCCCCTCTCCCCCTTGCAGCCGGAAGGTCTAGAAAAGAGCACTCGGTGCATGGAGCTTCAGTTCAAAATGTTGCAGGGGTTCTGCCTCCCCATCACTTATTTATTAATAAGCATTTGTATGCTGCCCAGCTGTCCCGCAGCACCCCTGGGTGGCTCACAACCATGAGATAAAAACACAATAAAAGTCATAGCAAATGAAAACAGCAATAAAATACAGCAATACATACAAAGTTAAGGTCTATGGCAGCTAGTTATTAAAATGTTCTTTAAAAGGAAGGTCTTTGCCTGGTGCCAAAAAGGGAGGCAGGAAGGTGCCAGGTGAGTCTCTTGGGGAGAGCGTTCCAGATATGGGGAGCAGCTGCAGAAAAGGCCCTGCTCCTCGCGGCCATCCCTCTCCCCTCCTTATTCATTTATTTAAAACTTTCATAGACTGTGCCGTTACTGGGGTCTTAGGATGGGTTGCATCCCTTAAGGGGTGGCTCACACAGGAGGGGCCCTGCGTGGATCTCAAAGGCCAGGTAGGCACACAGGGGCATGGGGGCTCCCCGGGATAACCGGGGCCTGGGCTGTTTGGGGCTTTCTATGTCAACGCAAGCACCTTGAATTGGGCCTGGGCCACAGCGGGTGACCAATGCAGATCTCTCAGTATGGATGTTCTGTGGGACTGTCTTCAAGGGCAGCCCCACAGTATGTATGTATGTATGTATGTATGTATGTATGTATGTATGTATTTAGGAGACTTCTATGCCGCCCCATTCGCCAAAGCCTCGGGGCAGCTCACAAACATAAATAAACTTCAATAGAATAATATAAATTAACAATATAAATTAAGTCGCCCTGGCCAAAGAATAAAATGAATAAATACTATTAACAATTAAAATAACATTTGAATAAAAGGGTCTTCGCCTGGCACTGAAAAACAAATAACAACGGCGCCAGGCGGACCTCTCTGGGGAGCGCATTCCATAGATTGGGCGCCACCGCAGAGAAAGCCCTCCTCCGAGTACTCACCCTCCTAATGTCCTTCACGGAGGGCTCCCGGAGAAGGGCCTCCCGCTGATCTCAAGGGGCGGGCGGGCATATATGAACATAAGCGCTCCTTCAGGTAGCCAGGACCCAAGCTGTATTCTATTTGATCACTTGATGAAGAGGCCTGGCCAGGAGCCCCCTTGTGCAGTAAACTCACAAAGTCTCCTTGTCCCTCAGGACTGCTCCTGGCGCACGGCCACTTTGCCCCTGCTGTGTCGGACCCTGCAGACAGTTGTGTAAGCACCGCCTTTGGAATGTAACTCTTGCCATGTGTTTTGCAGGCCGATGACCTTTCATCTGGTGGCACATCGTGCGAGGAGACCGTCGCCAAGAGCGGCTCTGCAGGATGGACAACCCAACCAGGGGTGTTTGGAATTACATCCCCACAGAAATCTTGTCCCATATATTTTCCTTCCTGTCTGTGAGAGACAGGCAAGTGGTCTCCCTTGTGTGCAGGGCCTGGGCTGAGGCGGCTTCTGCCGGTGCTGTCTGGAATTTTACTGAGATCAGGTAAGGAGAGGCAGTTTCCATGGCTGCCTCCCTGTGGAGTCAAACAGAAACTGGCAAATTGCTAATTGCACCTGCCTGCTTTATGATGCGCATTTACTTCTGTGTCTGCATCTCATTCCTGGGGCAGCTTTCTTTGTCCCCTCTTGACTTCCCACCACTTCTGATTGTTATAGTGTTAAGATTTTTAAAAAGTAAAAGCAGGAGGCTGGTAGGTTGCAAAGCAAAGTACTGCCCCCTTGTGCCATCTCTGTTTGGGTTTGAAGGGGTGGTTTTGGGGCACAGATGCCACCTTCGTCTTGCAGTTAAGTTCGTGGGCAAGTTTCTTTTCCTTTAGCCTTTCCAGTCTTCCTTCTGGGGGAGGAGTAGTTGGTGATTCACCTGGCCCACCATGGCAGCTCTTTGATTACTGGACGGGCCACTGAAGCCGGCCGTCTGTCAAAGTGCCTGCAGCATTCTTGCAAAATTTCAAATGCATCTACCGACCTGACAGAGCTGGGAATCCCTGGCTTGTGCTATGCCTGGAATAACCTCTCCTGGGATCCACTAAGCAGGTTCTCTCTGTCTAGTCTCCCCTTCAGATGCAGTTTTGGTGTGAAGATCCCCACTCTAGGATTGTTCTGGCCTGGGTTTGGCCAGACCTCTCAGCTCAGAGAGTTCCCTGCTGTGCCCAAATCTGAGGAATTCATATTAGTTTAAACTCCAGCTTGCAGAAGACAAGCCTAGACACTGAACCCTGGTTTGACTCTCCTTTAAGCCATAACCTAATTAACCAGAGTTCCTCTAAGTTTTGGCACAACAAAGAATAATGGTCGGCTTAAAAGTGGGAGGGTTTTCCGGTTAGACAGGCGACCGAATGGCCGGCTTAAAAGTAGGAGGGAGTTCTGGCTTTCTGCTTCTTGTGTGTGCAGTTCTAAAATATATTTAGACTTGTGTCTACAGAGCTACTTTTTCTTTGCCAGCTGGATTTTCACATCGCGAGAAGCCATGGTAATGTCATATGGTCTGTCATGTTATCTAGACTCGTGGCACTTCTGTGTAGTGCCTTCGGCTTCCCCCAACCATGGAGGAAATCAGTCTGTCCAGAGGCTTCTATGCTTCGGCACAGTTTCCCTGGTCCTCTGGACCCAGGATTGCTGCTTTACCTTTGTTAGTGTGGAAACAAAGGTGGTGTGCCAGAATCTATGGCCTTGAATTTACAGGGTGTGACCATTTATCTGTTTGCTTATTTAAAACATTTAAGCAGAAAATAGTGTGGCCTGGGGAATGCTGGAATTTGTAAGACATTTTTCTTTCTAAACGAGTTTAGGATTGCCCGTATGCTTCAGTCTTGCTTTCTGCCGCCTGCGCCAGGGCAGAAAAACACAGTTGTGTTTCACACGCCTCTGCAAATCTACTCTGAACGGGGACTTAAAAGTGACTGCAGGGTGACAGCCATGCAAGCCCGCCCTTTGGTGCTGGTTTTCCGGTCAGACAGGCAACTGAAACGAGGAAACTCTTTCACACATCTGAGTACTTGAGACTCATTCATGGGGGGACTGAAAGAGTTAGTTCCAGGTATCCCGAATTTAGCACATCCTTTCCCTCTGAAAATAATAAAAAGGGATTTTTAGAAAACTTCTGTCTTACTTTTACGTCCTGCCTCTTTAAGCCCTGAAGGCCTGGAGGAATGTTGTCCATGGGGTTGTGATGGGTCGGACATGACTTTGCAATTAGCAACGGCATGTCTGAGGCAGTTTGCAGAGCTATTTTTCCCATCTCGGTCTTCTCGTTCCAGCAGCCCTCTGAGGCCAAGCTAGGATGAGTGTAAGTCACTGTGCCCACGTCACCCAGTGAGTTTCATGGCTGGGTGGAGACTCGAACGCAGCTCTCCCAAGTCCCAGTGCAAAACCTTGACTGCTGCGTGACTCTCCTGCACCTGAAAGTCGCCACCTGGTGCATCACATGTGCCTCATGATAAAGCACGTAGGAATCGTGATTGCTGAGCAGAGTTCTGCCCTGCGCAAATCTACTGCCTTCCTGCTTGCAGGGTTGGGAAAGAGCTGAGGTACTGTGTGGGTATGAAACATGATGTCACAAAGAATTCTACTCGCCTAAGTGAAGGCCTCCTTTGACCTTGCGCTCTTCGCTCTTGGCGTGACACAAAGGACTTCTCAAGCTCCTGAATGCAATTCCGGATGGTCGGGTCCCAGTCCACTTTGGGACCCCTGTGGGCAGAAGGATACGCAGCTACAGGCCCTGGCCAGCTTCCCAGCCTGCACTGCGATCCCGTCTCTGCCCTTTCAAAATGTATTTTTAAAGTTCGATTATTGATCCCATGGAGGGTGGCCTCTTGTCTAGCTGGGCATTTTGTATTATTGAACGGCTTTGGATGCTTTCAGGTCTGTCTTATGTTGAGGAAAGATTAAGGATGGCTGCTGCCTTGGCTTTGGAGGGAATCCTTTCCTTGCTACATCCATCTACCTCCCCTGGGCAGTCCATGCCTGCCGTTTTGCTAGTTATGAGAGCCAGTGCAGGATGGCGGTTTGTTTTGGGCTGGGACTCAGGAAGTGTGGGCTCTGGATTCTGACTAGCCAGGGAATTCATTGGGGAAATCCTGAGCCGGTTGCTGGCTCTCAGCCAAACCCGCTTCAGTGGGTTATTGCAAAAAATAAAAGCGATGATGTGCAGAAGAAAGTGGGATATTAATAAACAGCTATGCCAACGTTAATATAGCCGTGGGACCTTTTGTGGTGTAGCTGGACTGCTCAGACTTCAGCTTATGGAGCAGAGAAGGCAGAGGGGGAAAAGAGACCAGCCCTGGCAGGGGCAATTTTAGTTTTGTTTGTCTGTTGCTCCAATTTGTGTGCTGCTACAATAGCCCATATCTGGGCTCTCTGCAGCTTGCAGCAATTAAAACATTCCAAAAGCAGATGTAAAATTAACATTCAACATATTAACAACAAAATCAAAATTTTAAAAAAATACACCAGAAAGAAAATATTACATACATGCATTAAAATAAGCAACTTAAATTCAAGCAGCCCAAAATAGTAGTAGTACTAATAAGACTATATAATTATAGGACTAGTTAAAGTCAGCCACTAAAATCAGTTATTAGAATAGCCAGAGAAGAGGGATGTCTGCCTGGTGCCGAAATGATACCAGTAATGGTGCCAGGCACACCTTTCTGGGGAGCCTATTCCAAAGTGGGGTACAACCACCGGGAAGGCCCTTCTTCCAGCCAACGTCCCCCTCACCTCCCTAAGGGATGGCAGCTCGAGAAGGACCTTGAGGAGATAAAGGCCTGGAAATGTAATGGCTGTAGAGCATGGCGTCCAAGCTTGGATTTGTTGGCAGAGGTGGGAACCTCAGGCCTGCGGGGCTTCTCTGGGCCTTTGATGTCCCCCAGGTGGCCACGGCCCATTCTGTAGCCCTTTCCCCCAATGCCGGCAGTTTGGCGGGACCCTGGCTTTGGTGCCATTCTTTCCTCCACTGCAGAAGGTTGGGTGGCCCCTCTAAGGCTGAGGCATAAAGGCATGAAGCTGAAAGAGGATGGGTATAGGATGTGGCTCCTCAAGAGCTTCTCAAAAGCGGGATTTAGCTCAGCATCTCTGTTCTGCATGAATGACAGATGCTCAGTGCATCGTCGTTTCTGCTTCGAGAATGAATGAACAATGAGTTGCGGCATGTGGAGAGCATGCTCAAAACTTGAATGGGCTGGAATTTGAGGAGTGTCTTAGCCACCACTTTTTCTCCTGTCGCCCTTTCCGTCCTTTTCCAGTTGCGACTTCGATGATAAGGACAACCACAATGCCATGTTGCTGAACTTGCAGCCGTTCTTGAGCTACATCAAATACCTGAAGATCATCTTCGATCATACACTGGAGTTTAACCGGGGGTTTGTCACCACCGTCCTGGACATGGTGGCTTGGAAGAACTCCAAGCTGCAGGCGCTGAGTATCGTGTGCCACGGGAAAAGCCCTTTCTTCTGCTCGGGCCAGGATATCCTACAGAGCATCCTGGGCCTCTGCCAGTGCTCCAACAAAATCGACCTCCGGTATATCGACTTGCAGCAGATGCCGTTCACGCTGGACAGCAGAATCATCACCATGATTGCCCGCAGCTGCCCCAACCTGCACACCCTGCTGATCAACAACCACGCGCCCGGCATCATCATCCTGCGGGCCGAGACGATCGTCGAGGTTCTGAGGGTCTGTCCAAAGCTCTCGACTTTAGGGATCTATTACGCAAGCCTCTCCAAGGACATGTTCCAGGAGCTGGGGAAGCCCAGCAGAGAACCCTTCAAGTCCCTGCGCCTCTTCTATGAAGGCCTGGACAACGATATCCCCGAAGAACTCTGGGTCCGGCTGAGCGAGAGGCACCCCCAGTTGCGGGTGGAGCTGGAATTTGCTCCGACGGTCTCTACCAGAAAGATGCCCCACATTCTACAGCCCAGCATCCCCATCTCCACCCTGCGGTTTAATACCTTTACGCACACGGCGGACCTGGTGCGGCTGGTGACCAGCCACTACCACCGCACCTTAGAGAAGCTGGTCCTTTACACGGCCCCGTCCGCGGACCTCAATTTCTCCCTGGTCGAGATGGCCGCGAAGTGCGTGCACCTGAAGGAGGTCCACTGCAGCTGCGTGGTTAGCCAGGCTGTGATTGACGCCTTCCTCCTGCACTGCCCTCGCTTGAAAAGGTACGCACTCTCCACAGTGTTGTTCTTCTGTGAGTTTCCAGTGACCATGTCTTGACCGCCAGGCATGGGCGCCTGCCGCTATTTTGGAGCGCCAGCATGAAATGTTCCGTGGAACCAGTGGCCTTCAGCTCCGCTACTGCTTCTTCCTCCTTGCGGAGCATAAGGGAGTGAAATCGATCTACACGTTTAGCCATTTACTACTGGAGTAAATACTACTCTTCAGGGCTAAATTCTAGATTCAGATTCCCAGATCTTGAGGGCTCAACCATATTACTCTAAAATTAGTATCTGTCTTTTCTCTGGATACTGGTTATTTTAAAACAGTTTATATGCTGCAGATGTTAATATTCTCTAGCTTTTATATGGTTATATGGGAGATCATGGTAAATTATCACAATAAAGATTTGCATATTTTAAATTACAGTTTTGCTGATTATGGGAGCGAGAAGCCTATGGTGCACCCCCATAACTTATTTTGTTGTCACATTTTGGGGGACGTGCTGAACGTTAGTTCCTCTAATCATCCACTTGTCTTTTAAGTTCTCCTTTCAGGGTTTTTGCAATAGGTTAATACTGTATTATTGTAATTTTACATTCTGTAAGCCATCCTGAGGACTTGTCGGAAAGATGGGATATAAATGTTTGTAATAAATAGGGCAAAATAGTTCTAAGGATGATTCCGTATTCCCGATTTGGTCCATTGGGATTTGATAGAAGTTGGCAAAAGTTGGGAAAAAGATGCCCTTTTTCTTTAGTTACTTGGAAAATTGGGCAGGTTATTTAAAGTCATTTTATCCCATGCAGTCAAAAAGACTCCCAATTTGACTTCTAACCAGTTAAACAAGGAGGACTCTGACTGCAAGTTCATCATCTAAAAAGTCATGACATTCAAAGAAATCGGGGTAAGAAAGAAGGAAAAACATGAAGCACTCTTGGTGGAATAGCCCTGTTGCTTCTCGTATCTCCAGTTACTTCACTTTTTGATTCTTGATGTAAATACCTGCCCTGTCGTAATCCTTCCAGTTTCGGGTTTTGGGCATAACCTGTGCAAAAATTGTACCTGCCTGTTGTTCTTCCCAGGATTTGCAGGTAGGGGTATCCTAAGGTCACTGCTGGTATGGTGAGTGAGGAGGCCCTGACCTTCAGGGGTTTCTGTCTCAGGATAGTCAAATTCACATGCCACCTGGTGGATCTGCACCTGGAGATTCATGTCATCTCTGCGAGAGTACCCCCACCTCCAATGGCATAACCACAGGCAGAAATAACACAGGTGCTGCTCTCATAGGTGGTAATATGGGGGAAAGGAGCCCTGTTGGATTTTCTGCTGTAAGGCTCTGGGTGACACAGAGGTGCTCCCCTTGTTTGGGATCTCAGGTCCAGGTACCAGATCTGCCCCTGGGGTCCCAAGAAGTCGCACCAGCCCTATTTTTTTCAACTCGCCACCAGGCATTGGGTAATCTCTAAACTTTGGTCAGCTTTTTCCCATGCTAAAAAGTCGAGATGCCTCTCGGAGGGGTCTGAGCTTCAGTTTGCTGCATCCCCGCGTTTTAGCCACACAGGCTGTGCACCACTGAAGAGCAGCCCCCGAGCTTCTCTGGCTCTGAATTTCCCCCCTTGGGCTTGGCAGGATTCAGCAGCCCTGCTCTGCGCGACTTCACTTGGTAGGATACTGATGAGTTGAGGCAAGCAGGCTGAACGTGGGTCCTCAAAAGGCCAGTGATGTTGTCTGAACCCAGCTGCCCTGACAAACCATGGATTGTTGATCATGAACAAGCCCTGAAGAGAATCCATACTTTGTGGTCTGGTTGTGAACCATGGGTTGTCCACCATAGTTTGTTTTCTCAGCTGGATTCAGCAACATGATAGCCATCTTTCAATAATTACCATGTGTGGAGGGTGATGCTTGAACTTCTGTTGTTTCCAAGCAGAAAGGGTGAGCTCTGTGTGGCATCAGCTGGTCTGATAGATGCGGGGCGGGTTTGTTAGGTTCTCTTCCCCACCCCCTCGGAGCTCCTCTCTTGAGGAAGCCTCGTTCTGCAGCAAGCTGGCTTTAGAAGGCTGTTGCGGTCACCACCTACTCAGTGTTCTTGGGGCCTGCTGGGGCCCAGGGGTGGGCAGAGGGTGCCCTCGCCAGTCAGCTGCTGCCCTTGACTGCCAAGGGGTGCTGCACCCATCTCTGGGTTTTGGGCTTCCCCGGGCAGCTGGCTGGCCGCTCTGAAGGCTGGTTTAGATGGACCTTGGTCTGCTCTAGCAAGAACATCTGGTCTGGTCAGCAGGTGGCACATGTTCAGCTCTGCTGCTGGCCCTTGCTACTCGAAGGGATTGTATCTCCTGCAGTGCTCCTTTTCATGGCTTAAACCATGAAACGGCTTGGGTCCTGGTTACCTGAAGGAGCGCTTACGTCCATATGTGCCCGCCTGCCCCTTGAGATCTGTGGGAGAGGCCCTTCTCCGGGAGCCCTCCGTGAAGGAAATTAGGAGGGTGAGTACCTGGAGGAGGGCTTTCTCTGCGGTGGCGCCCAATCTATGGAATGCGCTCCCCAGAGAGGTCTGCCTGGCGCCATTGTTATTTGTTTTTTGGTGCCAGGCCAAGACCTTTTTATTTCAACGTCATTTTAATTGTTAATATTATTTATTGATTTTACATCTTTGGCCAGGATGTCTCCAATTATATTGTTTTATATTGTTATTATGTTGTTGTTTATTGTTGTGAGCCACCCCGAGGCTTCGGCGAATGGGGCGGCATAGAAGCTTCCTAAATAAATAAATAAATAAAAATAGGCTGGCTTTCCAGGCACGCTTGGATGGCAACCCCCAGAATTCCCAGTCAGCGGCCCTGCTGGAGGGGAATTCTGGGAGCCGTGCTCCAGATGCATCTGAAGGCCTCCAGGTTGGGGAAGCCCGGCCAGAATTCTTCACTCTGCGCCCCTCCTGCTTCAAGCCCCGCTGCTGGGGTTGCGAGGCCGCCCTCAGCCGGAGGAGTGACCCGGCGGGTGACTCAGTGGGGCTTGGCCTGGGTGTGCTGCTCTCCTCCGCCCCCGGGCTGCCCGCACGGAAGATGAGTCGGCCGATGGCACCCTTGGCCCTTTGGAGTGGATTGCTGACCTCCTAGCTCTCTGTGTTTGTCCAAGCAAGTGTATTCTCTTTGCATAATGCGGCATCTTTATTCAGAGCATTGTGCGAGCGAGCATGGGGCGCTTTCATGCCGTGCATTGTTCCTGCGGTTGGGCATGCCTGGGCATTGTGTGGGGCTTGGGCGGGAGCCAGCAGCACTGCTGATGTGACTCGTTGGGGGAGCGGGAGGGCCTTTTCCCAGCATTGCCCGGACCAGTAAATGGCCCTTCCTCCCTCTGACACATGCAGAGAGAGAAGGGAGGGCAGCGGTGGCCAAGCAAAGGCATGGCAGGGCTGTAACTGGAGGGCTGCAGAAGCCATGCAGGAGTCCCCGGGGTCCCTGGCGATGGAGGGCTACGCCAGCACGGTCCCGGCCTTTCTCACCAAGCTCTGGACACTGGTCGAAGACCCCGAGACCAACCATCTTATCTGCTGGAGCGTTGTGAGTAGCGTCAGCGCCGGGGACGGCTGCTCTGATGGAAGGATGGCGAGGTTAACTCGAGGGGGTTGTATGTTGTCGTGGCCACTCTCAAAGTGACTTGCTATGGGGGTCATGTGTTTGTCCTGTCAGGGAGACCGTTAAGCCTTCGTTCCTACCTTCTCGCTGCCTTCTCTCCGTCTCTCCTTTTCTCCATCCTTCTTTCCTTGCTTCCTTCCTCCCTCCCACACTTATATGCCACTTCGTTTATGGCTTATGAGTACTGTTCCACAGATGGTGCTGGCAAGTCCAATTGCGTGTGGTGGTGGCCAGACCAACCGGGGCAAGTTACCCGAAAGGGATTTTCTCCTGCACTTCGGAAGGAAGCTCCGGGTGGGACAAGGGTTTGACGGTGACAAAGTGCCCCGGAAGGTGGGGAGCTCTTGGTTAGGTTTTCTCAGCAGAGGTGGGATGACTGAGAATCTCCCCTCCATTCAGTCTTGAGGAGCCTTTACCCACATTCGGAGAGCTGTCCCTAATGGGCACAAAAAGAGCTTGATAGTTTGACAATCTGGAGGCAGTGTGATGTAGTGGTTAAAGCCCTGGACCGGGAATTACGTGAACTGGGTTCTAGTCCCCACTCAGCCTTGAAGCTCACTGGGTAACTTTGGTCCGGTCACTGGCTTTCGCTCCATCCTACCTCGCAGGGGGGTGGTTTGGGGGAGAAAATGGAACGGAAGTTTATGTGACCTCCCTTGGGTTTCTTGCAAGGAAGAAAAATGGTGGGATATAATTCATCAAGAATACATGTGGGAGAAGCCACAACCAAAGATCTGTTCGTCCAGGCTTGGAGCGTTGCCCTTTCAAGCTTGGATCTGAGTCTCTGCGTCCGGTCCTGTTAGTGCCCCACTTGCTCGAACAGCCACATGACATTCAAGCCCATCACGGACCGCTCTGTGCCGGCGCTGCTGGAGCAGGTGGGTGGGCAGTTCTGCATGTGTAAGAACCCAGGAAGATCCGCAAGGCACTTCACGTCAGGAAGAATTTAGTATGATTAAAGTAATGGAGAAATCTGAAAGATTCTCCCCTCCGTGTGCATGGCCAGCCATAACAGATGCCGTGTTGGTGATTTCTCCGCGGGGGACGGTCTCCGGGCCCTTCCAGCCCCCGTTATTCTAGGGGAAGCTTGCAGTGCAAGGTTGAGTAGCGCCAGGAGAGGGAGGTTTATGCGGGACCGCTGGTGAAGAGGGCCGTGCTAAGTCCGTCCTAGTAACTACAGGGAGTTCTTAGATCGGGGAGCACCTCTTTGCCTACAGGGGATCCCACTTCTGTGAGTGCAGTGATACCCAGCCCGTTTTTCCTCTTGCAAGAAAGCAGAAGAGGTTGGTCTTGGCAGCCCTGTGAGGCTGGTGAGGCTGAAGGTGAGTGACTGGCCCAAAGTCGCCCGGTGAGCCAAGTGGGGACTAAAACCCAAGTCCTGGGCCATGCTTGAGTCTCAGCACTGCCTAGTTTCAGAATGCGTATGTGCAGAATTGCAACTTCATTCTCCCAAACAACGGTTTCCGCAGCCCTTTGACCCATGCAAGGCATTTCAAGGGAAGCTTTTCATGGCTTCACGGGAGAAGGAAATGGACTCCCCCATCCACACCCTCACCAGGCGCATGATACGGAGTGGTAGATATTTCTCTGTATGCCCCGGCATCGTAAGCTTTCCGTTCCTTGCATATCCTTTCACACAGCCTCTGAAGTGCTTCTCGGTGACTTTAAAAAAATAATATTAAAAAACCTACATTAAGCAGTTAAAAAAACAGGTGCAATTGGGTGTGGCTAGATGTACCTGATAGCTTACCAACCACAGTACCTGTATTAGTACAGGTAAATCTGTGCATGGGTAATAAAAATTGCTGGCCACACTATACGAGCATGTTCCCTGCATAAGTGCGCAGCAGAGGACTGGCATGTAAAAGCATCGATGTCTCCCCTTGTTCACCTGCACCTTGGTGCAGCCGTTCTTCCTCAATGTTTTTATACTGTGGTGCATTTTAGATTGTGCTTTAATGGACTGTTGTAACTGCCCAGAGAGCCTCAGCTACTGGGCAGTAGAGAAATCAAGTAAGTAAAAATAAAATAAGCATGCTGTGGGCATCAGAAGAGTATACTTTTTGGGTTTGATGCTAGAAGCAATAGTCAATGTGCTGCCATCATTTTTAGCCAGCTTCTGGGGGTTTTTTTTATTCCACAGCCCCTTTCAAGACTGTAGTCTCCACAAGGCTTGCAATAGAAAATCTGCATTTAAAAATGAGCCAGTTAAACAAGTCAAATTTTTAAAAAACTTAAATAACCAACAGGTCTAATAGAAACCGAATAGAATAAATGACATTTTAAATGCTTAAAAGCATGAAAAGCTGTACTTCAAGATAGAATTCCGCACGGGTCCCACGGAGACAGCCTTTTATTGAACGACAGCGAAGCTTGCAGATGCTAATGGGTCACACCTCAGTGCAGGAGCACCTGGCCTCAGGTAGACTGAGGAGGGTTCTGGCAGGAGCTGTTTCCCTGTCAGTAGAGAACGAGATGGGCCCACGCTCTTTGTGCAAGCAGCTTCCTTTGCCACGGGTGACCTTCCTCACCCAGATTCTGGCACAGCCAAACAGCTCTTACGGCTTCCTTTTCTACCACGGAGCAAATGGCATTTGGGGACAACAAGTGCCATTGTCATAGTTCGTAGTTCCCACGTTTTGGGCTCTCAGCCATCTTTCCCAGATTCCCAAGCCAAGGGGCAAAATACCAGACTAAGAAGTGAGAAGCCAGAATGGCAGGCTTGCTTCCCACATTCCTTCTCCCTAAAGTTTTAAACTACTTAGTTTTCAGGGTACGCTTCCAATTTTGGTTTCTTTCTGTAGGAGAGAGTATGGCTCCCAGTGGAGTAATAGGAAGTACATGCTGGAAAAATGAAGTAGGAATACTATACCAGAGCTTAGTTGGGGGGACAATCTCTGAACTTCTTGTTGTGGGAATGATATTTTTCACCCTCTGCTTCTCAAGATCTGAACCTGAGAAGATCCACAGTTGCATCTGTAACCATTTTCAGTACCTGTAAAAAGTTGGGTGTGTGTATGCACATAAATTTGGAGGCCCTGGTGGGTTTTTTCAAAACTGCAATATTCCCTGTATTGTACAAACACGGATTCTCATCACAATTCAGCCATCTGTTGCAGAAACATGCAAAGAGCAAGCAAGAAGCGTGGCTCAGTGTGTCACGGAGGTGAACCACTGCGTGTGTTTGCCTTAATCGGCAGTTCCACGCCAGGCTTTTGGGCCTGGGACGCTGGTTGCCTGCCATGTGGCTCACTACGATTCGCGCCTTGTTCCCCTTAAGCGGCTCTTCTGCTCAGCAGTGAGCTGCCATTTTCCGAAGCCCCGGGGAACCACACGCCAAGGGCCGCTGCCAAAACTGCCCTTAGCTGTTGTTGAGGCTTGCCCCTTCTTCTGCTGGTGATTCACCCGGTTTGCCCGTATTCCACGCTGGGTTTTTTGCACCATCAGCTTCGGCTTACGTTGGCTTCACCGCTTCCCAAGTGGCCCAAGCTTTCTTTCCCAACCGAAAGCTGCCCTCCTTATTCGCCAAGGTTTCGTAGGCAGCCCTTGCTGTATGTCAGGTCTTCCTGTCATGGCATATCAGTTCTCCCCAACCTGACGTTCTTCTGATGCAGAATTACATTTCCCAGAACCCCTTGGGCATTTATGCCAACTGAGGGATTCTGGGGCTGTAATAGTCCGACACACCTGCAGAGTGTCAGGCTTGGCAGTTGTCTTGTGGCATAAACAGACCTTCCTCAACCAAACAGAGTCCTGCCTGTGTGGAGCAATCCGTTTTGACCATAAGCTCTTGAAAACAAGCCGCAGAAGGAAAGTTGGAATAAAAGCCACACAAATATTGTCTGACGTAGGAGTCATGATACAAAGTCAGTAACTCAGAAGGCCTTGTAGGGGTCAAGGCAAAGGTTTAACCCAGACATGAACCCGGCCAAATATTTTGTGGGGCAAAAGTTTAACAGCCGGAAGAGATGGGTCCCTCGCAGAGAGAGGACTGCCCTGCTTCTGAAGGTATCCAATGCAACACCCAACAAGAGAAAATGCATTACCAAAAAGGAAGACACCAATTTCCATGTGCAAGTTTAGAAAAGGCAATACTAAAGTAGCAATACGTTATATCCCACCACCGCAGAAAACGGCCAAGGTGTCTTGAATGTGGTCATTCATGTTCCTGCAAGCCACACTTGAACCTGCCCAATCAAGGACACCTTCAAAGAGAGGGTTTTCCCTTGTCACTTCCACAGCAGAGGACTGTATTCTGTAAAGCAAGACTCCTGGCTTTACCGCTTCATCTCGCTGGGAAGAGTGGCTGGCCCTTGAGAGAGAATGGCCCAGAAACACCAAATGCACTTTCTGGTTGGGGTGTCCTTTGGAAGAGTGAGGGAGCCAGTTACTTGTGGAACAGTGAGTAGGAGCTACTGCCCAAGATGACACACTTCCCAGCTCTCGCATGCTCTGGGCCAGTTCACACAACCAAACAAGCAAGCATGGCTAAAATAGGCCAGTGTGGCTTGTTTTAATTCCTGCCTTGTGCCCGGTACTTTGTACCCAATTGCCTGCATGGCATGGCTTGTCACATCGATCAAATCTGAGCCACACGGCTTGTTGGGAGGTGGAACAGCTCCCAGATAACCCTACCACAGCCCCCGGGTTCCTTGTGGGTTGTTTCCTTGTCACCCACCTTCAGATAATGCGCCAGACACTTTGGCCCATGCCAGGGGTTCAGGCAGGCCACCGACTTATTTTGACCATGCAGACTGGCTCTCTGACTCCAAAAAGGGTTTCGGATTTGGGTTCCTACTCTAGCCTTCAGCACTCAACAAACCGACTGCTCAGCACGAGTTGTAAGGAGCCGCAAATGTTCTCCAGTGTGTTCACGTCTAGAATTACTAAGTGAAGCTCGCTGTAGTGGCCAGGTTCACACGATCAGCAGGAAAATTGCTGCAGTGAGCAGGGTGTGTGGCATGCAGCTTGCATAGTGGCTCGCACAGCTTCCTGTTCTGTGAGCCTGGCATGGGGAACAGCCTTTCGAATCGCCCCAGAGTCCTGCAGGCAAGCCATGCGTTCTGGGAGGGCTTCACGGCCGTCCACTTGGGCTCGGCCACTGCGAGAAGCAAGTTGCGCAGAGTGCCTGGCTCACCTGAGAAGCCACGGTGGCTTCCTTTCCAACTGTTCATCTGAACTTGGTCCATGGTTGGACCCAGGACTATGGCTAACTTTAACTGTGGTTTCAAAAAGTCTGCCTCAGAAATGATGGCTTGAAGTTGGCTTGTTTGTAGTTAATGCTAACCACAGTTTGTCTGTCTGGTTAATGCAATAAACCATGGTTATGCAAAAGTGGAAGCTTCAGAGCTGCCCTTCCTGTCCATGCAGGAGGATGGGGGAATGTGTGAATCTGATGGCTTAGGACAATATGTAGGTACTGTCCATTTCCAAGCTCCTGAAATCCAAGCAACTGCTTTTCACTTTTAAATAGGAAGCTTTATTTTGGATCTGCAGGTCAGGGTTCTTGGTGGGAGAAACAAGTGTTTTAAGACCACCAAGATCCAGCGAAATCTACATTTTTTCCAGGCAAACTGGCTACAAACAAAAATAATTTTATAACTATTTACTACTTGCTAACTAAAAGACTTTAAAATGGACCCTTTAAAAAAAGCCGCATCTTGTTCCAACTCTCAATTTTTATTTTAAAATGAATTTTGCCTGATCTTGGGTGATTAACTGTACCCGGTAATATTAAAACTGTGTATGTCTTGATTTTTCAGGTATTGCAGTCTGAAATAGAAGCCTGCATGCAGTTTCGGAATGTAGAAAGTCTGAGCCGAAGCTTGTTTATATTTATTTTTCCGCTTCACATTTTGGCAGTTTAGCTGCAGAAGTGTATAATAGCGGAAGGACCCTAATCCTGCCTGTTTCCTTTCCCTTAGAATGGCACCAGCTTCCATGTTTTTGATCAGGGCCGATTTGCAAAGGAAGTGCTTCCCAAGTATTTCAAACACAACAACATGGCCAGTTTTGTCCGGCAGCTGAATATGTGTAAGTAACTCTCCAAACAGAGGGATCTGGGATTCTACTAGAAGACGTGGGATTACAGCTCCCAATATCTTTGCCCATTATGTTGGCTGGGACTGATGGGAGTTGGAGTCCAGCAATAGCTGGCGGCATCACAAACTCCTATTTTCTGGCATTGTGAATGTGAATCAGCACACAATGATGTGTGAATGTCATTGTGCACACAGTAGAAAAGCTGCAGGTGTCTTTGTGTTCAGAAAAATGAGGCCTCGTTGCTGCTTGATTTTGTGGTGGCTCCTAATTGGAACCTGGGGAGAAACGTATTAGCTGGCAGAAGAGCTTTGCATCCATTCTGCAGAGTCAGCAAAATATCCTGCTAGCTTCCAGCCCCTTGTGGGTTCCAAATGGAAGGCTCCTGATGCCCACAAGCAAAAGTTATTCTGTCTGCGAAGTAAATGAATCAGAATAAAAATACCCAGAATACGTCTAGTATGCATCTATGGCGCATCGCATGGGTCATACAGTTTATGCATGTTTACATGCAGTATGTGTTCTGCTTTGGTAGAATTGAACAATTTGCAAATTTCAATGCTATCAAATTAACAGATTTTCCCAGTTCACCTTTCAAATATCAAAAGTGACGTTCTTGGACCGTTGTTGCATGTTAGGTGTAGATGGCTTGGGTTCACGTACTCCGCCTTGCTTGTCTGGTGTGGCCAGGACTGGAGAGGAGTGGATGCTTCTCTTCCATGTTCATTTCACCAAAGTGCTGCATTACATCTGAAGGCTGAGCTGTGATCAATCTTGATTATAATTTATTGAAACAAGCCAGCTTCATAAACCTCAGTTTGAAGTTGGCTTGTTTCAATAAACCATAGCTAAGCCTAACCACAGTATGTCCAAATTTAGACATTACACAAAAGGGTGATTATGTCGTTAAAAACTAGCAAAAGTCTTTAATCCCTTCCTCGCAGCTGCAGCAAGCAGAAGTGCCTCATTCCTGTAATACTAATCCATGGTTTAGTGTTGTTTGCACCTCACCATTATGTATGAAATGTTACCTAATGCTGAATACTGCTGCCTATTATCTGTCAGAGGTTCTCAGATAACAGTGTCACTTATCAAATGCCGTCTAATATTAAATACAATTGCATGTTAGCATCGAATTTTGTCAGCTGCGATAGAATGGTGGTTTTTCTCGGTTATCCCCGCATTCATGCGTGCCCGTGCCTCCCTGAAAGTTCAGCGGGGGGCTCCCACGAGAAGAACCAGTGAAAGGTGTCTTGGTGCACCTGATTCCCCTTGAGCAATTGCAGCTGTGCAGGAGTGCCTGGATCGCTCTGCGGAGCAGTCTCCACCCACAGCAGCCCAGCTGTGAGGCTGGTGGCGCGTTGCATGGACGGATGGCGTATTCCTCAACCTTGGCCTTCTTCAGACTGGTTCCCTCCAGGTGTGTCAGGTGGCAACTCCCATCATCCCCACCCAACAGGGCAGGGCATAGCAAATATTTGAACAGACTGGAACTTTCCTTGACTGTCTGGAGCAGATTTGTGGGGGGCGGGGAGCTTCAGGCAGGATAGGGAATCCGTTGTGCTGGCAGAGAGACGCTGTCGGACACGATCTGTTGTCGGGAGTATCTGCCACATCGAAGAGTGCAGAAGAAAGTTGAGAGAAGCGCTGTGCTTCATCTCCAGGTTTCACGTCTCTTCAATCTCTGAAGCAACTGATGGCCAGTTCAAACAACCAGCAGAACTGATCTGTAAATTTTTGCCTGGACTCTTCCTTTCCCCAAACTAAAGAGCCTGAAGTGTGGTATAGTCCTGAACAAAATCCACATCTCAATTCTGATGAACTAGCTGCTGTCGCTAAAGAGAATGTTGTCTCGGTGAAGCCTTTGGCTACTCTGGCAGGGAGGCTGCTTTCACCCAGACCGTGGTCTTTACCAAAGTGGGGGCTCCATCAGGTGTTTCCCCCTCTTCCCATGGCTGCCTCACATGGTGTGCAGAAGCCCTTTCCTAGATTGCTGCGGTGTGTCCACTCAGGGGATTCGCAGCCGCTCAAATCTTGCTGCATATATTGAGGCGGTTCAAGGGGTTTGCATCGGCGCTGGCCTCAGGGTTTGGGTGGCCCACAGTCAAGGCGCCCTTCGAGGACCCCTGTATCTGAAAGAGGCAGAGGGTCTAGCCTGGGAGCGCTTTTAGTTTTCCTTTGCCTACCTTGGAGGCTCCAAGGAAAGCAGGAAAAGTGATGCTGGAGAGGTGGATCCAAAGGCTGGTTTGGTGCCTCTTCTATGTGCCCTCCAGAGCTTGCCCTGTTTGCAAAGAAGCCTTTCACATGCTCAGGTGCTCCCAGTCCTTTACACTTCCCCGATTCTGTCTCTACCTTTAGACGGCTTTAGGAAAGTGGTGAATATTGAGCAGGGGGGGCTGGTGAAGCCCGAGCGAGACGACACGGAGTTCCAGCACCTGTATTTCCTCCAAGGCCACGAACACCTCTTGGAGCACATCAAAAGGAAGGTAAGATGTGTGAGGGACTGAACGTATGGGCTGTGGGGGGTCCACTTAGAAGGAACACACACGCACACAACCGCCCTTGCACTGCTGGATTTTTAGTTCCTCCACTCATCTTGGAGAGCAGCTGCTAGTTCAGTCTCAGAAGACCTTCCCACTGGGACCCCCTTATGAACGCAGGGGATTGAAAGGGCCATGGCATGTGTCTCCCGTCCTTTCAGTGCCTTTCTCTTGCTTCTGCAGGTATCGGTTGTGAAAAATGAAGAAACCAAGATGCGCCAGGAAGACCTTAGCAGGTTGCTGTATGAGATCCAGGTCCTCCGGAGCCAGCAGGAGACGATGGAATGTCAAATGCAGGACATGAAGCAGTGAGTGTGACCAGCCAGAGGGGCGATGCTCTGGGCTTGTCCTCATAGCTTTCAAATGGTTGTAGGCTCTCGGCTGTGTGGGCGATGGCACATGGGAGTCCAAGATGCCTTCCTGTTTTATCATGTGTTAAGACGTAGTGGCAGTTCAAGGAAAAATATTCAAATGGAATAGGAGGAAGACAGGCAAAGATGCTTTGTGCAGAAGCTCTGATTAGCCGTACAACCTGATGGGTACATTTTGTGTTGCCAGTGCTTCTTCAGGAACCAAGTGCTATGGAAATATACTCAGAAATATTTTGCGCCTTGCTCAGCGGGACTTCTAGTTTAGTCAGGCTGCAGTGTGTTTCACTGAAGCACGCAAGTGTGCAGTGTGTGTGTGTGTGTGTGTGTGTGTGTGTGTGTGTGTGTGAGAGAGAGAGAGAGAGAGAGAGAGAGAGAGAGAGAGAGAGAGAGAGAGAAGGAAAGTGGGGGGATGTGTCAACGTTTCTTCATTCCTTTCAGGCAGAACGAAGTTTTGTGGCGGGAAGTTGTGTGTCTCCGGCAGAATCATTCACAACACCAAAAGGTGATCAACAAGGTAAGGTGTGATTATTAGTGCAAAAGCAACAAGGTAGAAAATGTGATGATCCAAGAGAAGTTGTTAGTCGTGTCAGTTTTAAGAATGTTGTATGGAAGGTGTTTGTAAGATGAAGGAACATTCTGGGCTGGGGACCCAACTGAGCACTCCTTGAAGCCGTGTCTCCCAGAGTTTCAGCTCCCCCACAAACCCACAGGTTGTAAAGTTTGTCTGGGATAAACTTTTGCTTGTGCTACAGTGCAAAATAACCCAATGCCTGCTCAGACACATTGTGTGTGTTCCTATGAGAGAGAGAGAGAGCGAAGGCACAGGCTTTTGGTGTGAGACCGGCTTCCTTTTCAGAAAGATGCAGCCATCCTCTCCTTCCGTGGCTGCTGAGGAAGGGCTGGCTCAGAGCTGCAGTGTCTGGTTCCGTCCAGAAGGTGCCAGTTCAGACCCGGCTGCTCCAAGTACGGCCGGAGCAGTTTCTGCCTGCACCCTCGCTGGGCCAGCGCTTCCCAAGTCGGCCCGCGCTTGCTTTGCTTGGGGCAAAGCGAGAGTGCCTTGCATGAATGGAGCGGGTGCTGAACCCCTGAGCCCAGTGACAAACACCAGACCTTGCTTTTCCCCGGCAGCTGATTCAGTTTCTTTTCGGCCAGCTCCAATCAAGCCCCAGCGTTGCGGGAATAAAGAGGAAACTGTGAGTACCCCCGTGCGGCCCGGGCGGCAAGGAGCGTGTGGCGTTCGCCCGAGCTCCATGCCAAGTGGCGTGCTGGGTCACCAGACCAGGGCGCCATGGCGACGGCAAAACGAACTGATGAGTCAGAGCTGCTGACGGGGCCATTCAGCGCCCTTGGCGAAGCACCGTGTCAGCTCGCCGGGCCCTTTGTTGTGGGAGTGTGCAGGGCCTGACAGGAGAGGTCAGGAGAGAACGGGGTGTGGAGGCAGGCGGCCCCAGGCAGACCACGGAGGGCTCTTCGAGCACGTGGGGCTAAAGGGGCGTGGGGCGCGCTGGAGTCGGGAGCGGCCCCGGCAAGCCGCTGGATCACGCGTGGGCTTGTCAAGTGACGGCAGGACGATGCTCAGGGCATCCTGTGCTGGGGGCGGAGGGGCGCAAGAGATGCAGCCCGGCTGCTGTGTCAGCAGGCGAAGAGCAAGTCTTGGCTGGCTGGAAGACAAGTCCCTGGAGCCCAGTATTCGCGGTCTAGGAAAGGGCCACCGGGTGCTCCCGGGACAACTGCAAGCAGGAGGCACTGGGAGCCTCTGGCCGCCCCCTTTGACTTGATCCACTGCCAAGCGAGGCCCTGGAGGGAAAGGATCACGTGCAGCATAAGAGGAATGGTCTCCTCTTCTATTCATCGATGTCCCACCTTTCCCCTTCAGAGGCCCTTACGGAACGGGTTATGTAATCGAGTGCACCTGTTCTTAGCCTCACAACGGCCTCTTGAGGCAGGCTAGGCTGAGAGGGAGGGAGTGGCTGTCCTGTGAGCTTTCTGGCGGAGAGGGGACTAGGAGTCCAAGTCCAGCAGACTAACCATTACACCACACTGCCTCTCTGGACAATCCTAAGCAGAATTTCTCTCAGATGCCCTGAACGCGGAAGGGTTGCCCCAGCTTGTGCTTTCGACAGCGTCTGGGCTTTGCTGCAGTTTCCTCTTGGCCTTGTCAGGATTGATTGATTGATTGATTGATTTATATCCTGCCTTTTTCCTGCAAAGGGCTCAAGGCAGCTTACATCATCTCTCCTCCTCCATCTTATCCCCACAACAACAACCCTGTGAGGTAGGCTGGGCTGAGAGTCTGTGACTGGCCCAAAGCCACCCAGTGGGCTCCATGGCCGATCAGGGACCAGAACCCGGATCGTCTGAGTCCCAGTCCCGCGCTCTTCACCACGACGCCACACTGGCTCTCACCGCTGACGGCCACCGCTGGATTTTGCAGCCCTTTTGCTTAGGAGCTCTTTTGTGGACACAGCTTTGGTCTGCACTGCTCCCAAAGGAGCATCGATAGCGGAATCATCACAGCTCAGTCGCATGGGATGGCATGTCCACATGACGTAACTCCATGTCTGATCCTATTGCGTTCCCCACCGGAGAAAGTCTGGCTTCATTTGGGAAGGACAGAAGAGTAATCGAGGGGCAGATGTTCTTGACAAAGCCCTGCCATCATTTTAAAAGCCCTTTTTAGTTTATTTTTATCTTAACCTTTGCAAGAGGTACTCCTTATTTTCACACATTGTGCAGCTAAGCAATAGGTTTTGCTATTGTAAGACGTAGGGATGGCTACCAGTTTGGATGACTTTGGATGGAGGATTGGACTGCTTCAGGGGGGAGAGGGCCACCAACTATTACTAGTCCTTACGGTCGTACCCCACATCCTGCACGAGGGTGGTGTGTTAATGTACACTGGTTGCCAGGGAACGTGGGTCAGAGGCGTTCACATGCTCTAGTGAGCTGTCCACAGCAGCTGGTGGCCGCTGTGTGAGCAGAACAGGGGGGATCCTTGCTTTGATCCACTGTCTTACGGCCTTGCATGAGCATTTCTCTAAAGTAAATCTTTCAAGTAGCAAATATCCACTAATGGTGCATTAAAACAATATAATTCAATTACACAGTCCATATTTATAAAATAGGGGTGGAGAAACCCTTTCCAGTCACTGCTGGTTTAACAAGATCGCTTCCTACATATACGTACGCAGTGTGGCCAAAGGTAGGTACACAGTGCTGGCTGGGTCATTTCTCTGACACAAATTCTGGTTAGCACCTATGTCAGCAAATCCGTGCGCAATGAACTCCGTCAATTTGTCCATTGTCCGTGGTCCTCCTTGACCCATTCAGTGTACGGTAAACCTGTTTTTGGCCGATCCTCTGTGTGTGTCTGTGGGTGTATGTGACTTAGCATTATAGTGCTACCTTCCTATAATGCGCCTTTCAAGTAAAGGTATTAGAGAAACACCTGGGTGTAATATATACTTGTAATAATTTTAATTATTCTTTTAAAAATCTCTTCTAAGTTATTGTATGCAGGCTGAATACATCCAACTTGTTTGTTTTTAATTTCGTTTATTGTGCGGGACTGTGAATTGCACAGTGACGTTTGTGCAGGCCGGTTTGGAAGAATGTGTCCCGTCAGCCTTCCCCAATCACAGGGCCGTGCTGGCTGAAGAATGATGGGGTCGTATTCCAGATTATCTGGGGACAGCCTGGCAGTCCTCCATATAACACCCTAACAGAGAGTGAAGCAAGAGAGCTGCACCTGCTTGGTTTGCACCTGCCAGGTTTGCTCAGCTCAGTGGAGCCAGGATCCTGGGCTGGGACGAACACGCAGGTGTGCTTTGCAGTGTGTGTGGGGTGGGGAGCGGTGAGGTCAACCGCCTGATTTCATAGTGTGAGTGAATGAATTGCCCAGTTCCAGCCCAGACTTGGGAGTCTTTATTTAAAAAGAGAGAACAAGATGCATCTTCACGTCAATTTCCTGTTTTTAACTCAAGAGTTAAATTAGGAGCAGTGAAATAGATCAAGGATTGACTGCTGTCTCTGGGGAGCTTTCATGAAACTCTTCTGACCTCAAACAGCTTGACAATAATGGAGATTTTTTCCCTGTCCTAAATTATCCTCCTAAAATAAAGACCGCATGTTGAGGAAGCAAGTAAGCTTGTGTCCAAGTTCCCGTTTCAGACAATTTCTGGGCTTGGCGTATGCTCAGAGGCACACTCATTTCACAGTTCTGGGCCTGCCCTTCAGAGTCACTGTTTTTTAACCTGCCTACAGCTGGTGGACTTCAGGCTCCAGCAAAAGCAAATGAGATACCCAAGCACACAGTCTTAGATGAGAGTAGTAATGCTGTTATCTACTTTCAAGGCTTCTTGTAATGAGCGCTAAATTCTGGGAACTGTTCTCCCTGCCACTTCCTGGTTTCCTGTCCCAGAGATGCTGCTGCTTTTGTGACTCTGCGGCCAAAAGGTTGTGCTGAGATGTTCTGCTCTCCTCCCTTTCACAGACCTCTTCTGTTGGATGATCGGAACGCCACTCCACAAATGGCCAAGTTCAGGAGGCCCTTATCTCTGGATCCCCTTCATGATTCCTATTTCATCGAGTCTGTGAGTTCGAATTTTTGTCTTCTGGCTGGCTCTGGATAGCTGTGTACACACATTTCCGTCTGGTTCACAGCCTGCTTGAAAATGCCCCATTCACAACCCCGAGCTCAAGTGCATGTTCCCAGGAAAGGTGTGCAAAGCCCTGGATTTGGATTTGGGCTTGTAAGTGCACATTTCTAAAACCATCCTTTTCAAATATGCCCTTCAGAAAATGTGTTTGCGTAGCTAAAATGGATTTGGGGGTGGCAACTGCACAAATATGTCCTTTAAGGTACTCATTTTAAAACGTCCACAATCTCACACTTCGGTGAATGGGGGGGGGTGCACACGTCTGAAAAATATGCACAGAAATGCATACCCTTCTGTTCAAAATGTGCACATTCCCCTCACAAACAAATGAACAACCAAACAGCTCTCACAGGAGAACGCAAATGAGCCAAGCTGAGTTCTGAATTAAAATTCAGAGAATCATAGTATGGATAATTTCCTTTAGGGTTGCAACGTTTATTAGACTGAAAATATTTTTGTCAGTATAAAAATTTCTTACAATTAGGACTGGAAGATTTAGGGCGCAATGTTACACTTGACTAGACCAAACAAAAAACAAAAAAACGGCCGATAACATGGCTGGCTGGGCTATTCTGAAGTCATTAGCCTTTTTTTCTGTCTAAATAAGAATAGATTGGCTCTTTGGTAAGGTAAAACACTTTGATTCTTCTAAAACCTGCCACCAATTGTTCTTTAAAACAGGAATTATTTTTAATATATGCCTAAGATTTGGGATTCAGGGGGCGCTGCTTCCAGTCCCCCTTGGAAATGAAAGTCAGCGATTGCCTTTGGTCATTCATTGACTCAGACTAATCTACCTTGCAAGGATGTTGTGAGGAGAAAAATGGCAAGAAGGTGGTTCATGTAAACTGCCTTGGATTCCCTGAAGGAAAACAGGCATAAATAGAACGTATGCATTAAGACAACTCTGCTCTTGGGAACTCGATTTATTTATCAATTGTATTTTTGTACCACCCAATAGCCAAAACTCTGTTGCAGTTTACGGCAATGCGTAAGATGCAGTACAAAATATAGAAAGCCATACAAGCATCAGAGAAGATGAGCATACCAAAATTTAAAACCACATTTCAGATAATGTCGAAAAGCGACAATAGCTTCAACTGGGGTGGCCAAGCCGAGGCTCGGGGGCCGCGTGCGGCTCGCGGCTCATCACCTGTGGGCACCCGCTTGCTGCTCCCAAAGACCTGGCATTCATCACGTGCGGCTTCCTGGTGGGGCAGTCTGGCCACCCTGACCTATACCGATTAAAGCATATTCCCAGGCCTGGGCCGGGCGAAGCTCTTCCCCTGGGCTTAGTCTCCGACTCTGTCCTCGGAGCACCTGTGAGTTTGGTCCCGCCTGAAGTCTGCTGCTTTTCCAAGGCAGCCTCCCCGGCATTCTTCCTCGAGCTGTTGCCTTCCTGAGATGCAGGACTACGCCTCACATCTCCCTTAGTCAACATGGCCACTGCTGGGGATGATGGAAGTTGTGGTCCAGCTCCTCAGGAAGGAGCCTGTTTGTGGAAGGCCAGATAGGTAGATTTAAGGCAGCACCGGTATTAGTGGGAAAAAGGCATTTCTCTTCCCCAACGGTGCCTCCAGCCGTCTGCGGAACCGGCCCTGTGCCTCAGCAGCCCCACCGTCGCCAGAGGCCCCATCATATCGGACGTCACGGAAGCGTTGCAGTCCGGCGCCGTGGTGATGCAGCCTGCTCCCAGCGGAGAAAGGTAAGCACGCGCGGGGCCGGGGGTGCGCGTGATTGCCCAGGGCGAGCAATCAGCCCCACGGGCCGCGGCGTCAGCAACAGCGGCCGCTGCTGCTCATTGCCTCTGATGCAGCGGTGCAGACCCTCTGGTTCCCGGGCCCGGTCCCCCCCCCCCCCCAGGCCCTGGTTGGCTACGCTCCTTGTTCTGCTCCGTGGTTCAGAGACTTGCGAACTGTGGGCTGGCAGTTTGGTTCCGCCCCGTTTACATGGACGTGGCCCCCACAAGCTCTCGTGGCCCCTGAGAGCTTGTGAATCCACCCTGGAGGGGGGACGCTCACCTGTTTCCTTGCCCCCACGTGGTCTGCCCTTCTCAGCAGGGTGGGCTTCCTGATAGTGACAAAGTGTTTGGAACGGGAGGGGGTGGAGCTACAGCGTGGGGGGGAGTTGGAGCGAGGGAAGCTCAAATGGGGAAAAGACAAAGCGCTTTCCAATCCCAGCTCCGTAAGTGGTCTTCATGAGTTTAAAATGGGTTGTCGGGATGGTTTGACACACTTCCTGCTTTGGCTCATGGACTGGAGTCCATGGGAAGTGGATTGCACTGAATGCTTCCTATTTATAAGATACAATTATAGGGTTTCAGGTCTATTGGGCCGGTCAGGACTAATCTTGCCTTAGTGCTGGTCGCGGTGGGCAGGGGCTGCTGAGGATGGATGGGATCTGCTAAGTTGCAAGGGCCTGCCCAATAAATGCACTTGGGAGGGAGGTGGCCCTGTGTCCTCTTTTGCAGGGGGTAGTCCTTGATTTGAGGGCCTCCTCTGTTGGAAGGGCCGGCCAATTTAGAGGGAGAGAACGATATAAGCCGTTCAAAAGGGTGACCTGGCAGGCCACCTGGCCACAGTTTTGCACGCAGTGGTGAAATGTAGTGGATTTCTATTGGAATTATCAGAGCTTTTCCTAAATTTGCATCTCTATTTGCATTTGTGGCCACCATATCTCTGCACCAAGGACCTCTTTGCTTTTTAGGCTTCCTCTCTCTGCCAGATTTTTGTTGCAAGATTTGTAGATGGCTCCACCATCCCAGAAAACTTAATGTGTTATCTTGTGTAACTTTTAAGTCTGAGAAAGACAATTTCTTCTCCTCCTAAGCCATTTGGAAAGCCCATCTTAAGGGCACATACTGAATGCGGGAGAAACATCTGGGGGTTGTTTCTTTGCCCGCTCGTCAGTGCACGCATCCTATTGTGAGAATCACTCTGTTCCTCAAGGAAATAAATTCATGACACAAATTCAAGCAGCACTAAATTTCTGCTGATATAACCTTGTATGCCGTCACGCCCCTTAAGGTCAGCGAGAACCCTTCTTGAAAGTGGTTAAAAAGGACATCTACTCAAAGCGGGGCCTTCCCTGTGGTGGCGCCCAGATTATGGGATGCGCTCCCCAGAGAGGTTTGCCTGGTGCCGGGCTTATACTCTTTTTGGCGCCAGGTCAAAGCCTTTTTTTTACCCATTATTTTAAAAGTTAGTATTTTAATGTACAGTCACTTTTTTTACTTAATTTATCTTTATTCGCTATATGTTATTGCTTATTGTTAGAGATTGTTATAGTGTATTTGATTTTAATGACTGTAAGCCATCCTGAGATGCCATGCAGAAGGGGCGGCATATAAAAGTTTTAAATAAATTCATCATCGCGGCTGCTGGGGCAGGTGTCCCACAGAGCAGGCACACCCTAACGCCAGGAGCATCCTTCCGTTCCCTATCCCGTCCACATAGTCCCTCCCCTTTTCGCTGATTGGCAAGGCTCCTAGGAGGTCGCAGCCTTCTGCATCCGCCTCTATCATACCACACCTTGATATGTTCCCCCACCCTCTCGGGCATCCCCTCTTCATGCTAATAACCCCATTACCTGTGCGAGGTGTGTCCTTCCCATTCTGAAGCGTATTAAGCACCTGCACTACTAGCTGCAAGACTTTTAGGTCATCCTGCCTCAACTCAGTCTTGCCCTGCGACCCCCCCCCCCCCCAATAAACTACTGGAAAGATAAGAAGTAGCAAACTTTCCTTCAAGCCAATTATCTCCACATCCGATTCCTTTCAGAACAGCCAGGCTGCTGAAAAGACCGCTACCTGCTATTTTCTGCAAAAGCCACAATGGACCCTTTCCTGCACTGCGATGGGCAGGCGTGAGCCACTGGGAAGGAGTTGCAGGGAGGCGGGCAGGAAGATGTGACAGACGGCAACCCTGCGGGGGTGGGGGCTTAATACATATAAAAAGGGAAAAGCAGGAAGGAAAGGGCAAACAAAGACCCATTCTGGGGAAGAGCAATTATATTTATAAGCCATCCCGAGACATCAGAGTGGTGGACGGGGTACAAAACCTTTGCATGAATAAATGAATAATAGGTATTTTGAATGCCTTCCTTAAAAGGTTCACCTAGTGCCACTCTTCTGGCACCAGGCGAAGACTCGTCTTTTTAATATTTAGTCCCTTCCATGGATGCTACTCTAACCTGTCTGAGTAAATTAATCTGATTGGAATTTTAAATTTGTGATTTATAGATTTATTGGTTTTAGTGTTTTACAGGTTTGTTGTTAGTTCTTTTAATACTGTGAGCTGCCTAGGGATGCTGCTAGCAAAATAGGTAGCATATAAACACTTAAATAAAGAAAATAAATACATGAGCATACTGTAAGGTGACTCTCCTGGGACTGTATCACTTCAAGAGGCACATGGAGGAAATGCATGCATTGAATATTCATTCTCTGTTTAAAAAAATTACAAAATATCCCCCTTGCATGGGAAACTAATGCACTGGGGGGATGTTTAGGCTAATAGCCTTTTCTCCGAGAGACAAACAGGAAGCATTTCAGAGTTTCCAGTGCTACCTGATGCTGCACCCTTCGCTTTTTCGAAAAGTGGCCCCAGAGATGTTAATTCCGTATGTGGGCAAACTTGGCATTCAATGTAAGAGCCATATCTGAAGGCTCAGAAGGGCCTTTCATCCAAAAAGAGCTTTTATTTATTTGTTTGTTTGTTTAAATGTCTTATACACTGCCGGATTATTATAAAATGTCATGACGGTTTACATAAAAAGCCAAAAAAATGTATATTAAAATGTATTACAACCATAAAATAGTTAAAAACATTGCTACAACTAATTAGAATTGTCTGACATTGAGGAGGGCAGTTTGCTCAGGTCCCCTTTTGTGCTGCTTGGGAAAGTCACGCAGCTGGGAAGCCGGGGTGCCCTGCGTGTGCGACTTAAAAAACGGAGAAAGAAACCTATATGCTGTCTATCAGAGCTTGGGACTGACGGATGTAAGAACTGCGTGCAAGAAATGGACTTGGTCTACCCAAATTTATTTAAAGCAAAATAATTTATGGTCAGATTATGAATGTTCAGTGTTATGTGATGTGGAACAGCTGAAATTTTGCAAGTTAATCATGTTTTGGAACTGGTTGTTTTTTTTTTTAAGAAATTCAGTTGCTTAAGGTTTGAACAAAAGATCTGCAGTGCATTTGATGAAACCTAGAAGGGTTTAGAAAGTATTTAGAAAGGTTTTAAGTATTTAAAGACGATGGTTGGACTGTGAGGAGACTGAAGGAAAACTGACCCACTGCTCACAGTTGTCCAACAAGATTAAGAAGAATTGGATAAAAAAGCTTGGGTTTCATATAAAGTACTGAGCAGCCTTTAACATAAAAAGCAAATTTAAAATTCGAACTCTTGACAATCAGATAAAGAATATCCGTACTAGTGTTGCAAAGCAAGGCAGTTACTTTCGGGCTACTTCCAGGGAGACGCTTGCCAGGTTTTTCCTCTCCTGGTTGCCAAAATAACTCAGCCAGGCCTGCAGTTGTGCAGCTTGAGTTGTGGAAAGGAATGAGGGTGGGTGGGTGAGAGATGACTTGCCCCCGGGGGCATGGAGCAAACCAGCCAAGTGTCTTTGGGCAGCCCTGGCACCCTCGCCAGATATCGGAAGTGTCTTCGGAAGAAAGACGCCTTCTTTTGCGTGGCCCTGAGCGGCTTCTGCAGTCAGCTTTTAGCACGGTACTCCTCCCCCTGCACTTGCCCCTTTTGGGGAGTCTGCACAGTGCCCATTCCCACTCCCACGGCTGCTTGTCTTTCTCCTACAACAGAAACTACAGCTTTTCCAAGGAGGAGCAAGGAGTTGCTTTGCCTTCAGTGCCTCCCCGCCTTGTCCTTTCTCAGATACTTGCTTCCCTGTGGGGTGCAAACTGTGGCACGGCGAGGCAATTTTTGAGCATCAACTTGATGGTCTTAGAAGGGTCCGTTCGACGGCCCCTGCCTTCTACTCCTACAAAACAGCATCTTTGTTCTTGATGTGAGAGGGTATTTGCTGGCCCTGATTAAAAAAAATAATGGTCAGCTAAAATCTGATGGTTTGGATACAAGACGCGAGTAAGTAAGGCTGGGCTCAGAGGTTAGCTCAGCCACGCAGCAGGTTCATGCTGGTCACCGCTCAGCCTGACCCACCTCACCAAGTGGTTGTGAGGACAGAATAGGGGGGACCAAAGCACTGCATAGGTGCCTTGTGCATCTTTCTGTGCAAGCGAGGCCACGCGCACATTCCCTGGACGGACTTGGACCCTGAATCCTCGTTGGCCGCTCTTCCCCTTGTGTTTTCGCAGGGCAGAAATGCCCGATGCTTTGGATGCTGGTGCTGATTTGAATGTTGAAGGCCTTCAGATCCTCCTGAGAAACCAGCAGTACAACCTGGAGGCCGGCAACACTCTGGATGTAAGTGCGTTTAATCTACCTGTGCCCATCTCTGTCCTTATTCGTAAATCTCATGGCAGCTGAGAGCAGGCACCGTTCTTTGGGTCATTCGCTCACAGGCTTTGAGGTCCTGGATTTGTGACGTGGACATTCCAAAAGATACACTTTGAGAATCTCAGGTTTGGTTGGAAGGAAATTGCAAGTCTGTGGATTTTGAGTTCAGCGGGTACTTTGCGTTCAGCCGCAGCGTGCTGGCTGAAATTTGCCAAATAGAAAGAGATGCATCATTCCACGTTCCAGCAGCTAAACCCCTTCTCCCTTTTTGGCACAGAAACTTAGCTAAAGGAATTTGGGAAGGCAAAACCTGGTAGCTGGTTTTAAGATTTCAGGTGGAAGGAAAAAGCTTCCTCGATGCACAAGCAAAGGATGGACCTAATTGCCACGAGGCGTCACCATGTCGCTTGTTGCTGGAAAGCTTGGGGAAATTCGTGGGGCAGTTGATTACTGATGTTCTGTGGAACCTCCATGTTCGCAACCACTCTACCTTTGAATCCCAGTTGCTGAGGAAGGGGCACCTGCAGACGCATTTGGTTGGCTGCTCTGGGAAGCTGTAGCCTTAGGCTAATCCAGCCCTGACTTCCTGTTTACATTCCTCTTTATTTGGTTTTCACTGCCCTAAAAAGCTCCCCGCAGAGGAGATCTGGTAAACTGCTTCTTACCATCAGAATAATGCTGGCCACAATGGCTAGGACCCTCCCTGTAGAAAAAATGAAACTTTGTTTGGTTGCGGATCAAACAAAAACTCTCCTCGGTGATTTGCAAGTTGCTGCTCATTTTCCATGAAGAAGATGTGCCTTGTTTCCGCCAGGTCTTCAACCCTGCTCTAGCAGCCAGCGAGTGGAATTTGAGTGACGTGGAGGCCAGTCTGTCCTCGGTAAGAGACGCCTTGCACGAGGGAAGGAAGTCTGTCTGAGCTTGCGCTCCCGCCGTGCTTAACCGGGAGGAAGTGGCAAGGTTCTTCCAACCAGGGCTCCTTCCACCCTAGCATTTATTTACTGTGTGTCTAATCTGACCCATTCCCATGCCATGCGGTTCTCCAGATGGCTCTGCCCCCTTTTCCCACCCACCCATCATTTGGTGGCCTCCCTGCTTCTGCGGAGCCCCTTCCCCAGCCTAAGAGATTGAAATACCTCCCTGCTCCCAGGTTTATTTATGGTCAGTCATGGGATTGAGCGAAAGCAGGCTGGTGCCTTTGGCTCCACCCTTGGTTTGTTGGTCCCGCCCCTTCACCTGCCAGTCATTGGAAGGTCCCCAAGGCAACCCAGCCCTCGGGCCAAAGGAGGTCCCCCACCAGCCCCTAAAGGCACAGGGCTGAAATCCAGGGGGAGGCCCGCTCCCGTCTCGCCTGGGCCTTGGAGAGGTGGATTTTGCCTCAGCTGCCAGCCTCCACCCGCCTTTGGTCGCAATAACACACAAATCTGTAGTTCGCATCATGGAAGAGTAGCTTTGGAAGGGGCTGGAAGACCATCGAGTCTGACCGACGCAGCATGCCAGCGCAGGGCTTTTGCCGGGGAACCGGCAGTCCTGCCGGGGCTTGTCCAGTGTTCCCAGCCTCGCCTGCATGAGAATTTCTCTCTCTCCTTCTGTGCTTGTGTTTTGTAGTTTGTGTTTTTGCACCAAGATGCAGAAGCTCGCTGTGGGTCTGGTGAGGAATGCAAATCCTTCTGAGTGTTTCCCTCAGTTTAAAGCCTCTTGCCCAGGTAAGGGCTGACGCTGACTTCTCTCCCGCGAAGGAAATAGGGGAAGGTGGAGGCACACTTTCCATGCCAAGGCTGGTTTTGCTGGCACGGGGATTCCAGAAGGGGCCTTTTGTTCCACGGTGTACGGATGCGGTCCCATCCAGCGGCACCCACAGGGCTCCCGGAAAGTGGTGTGGGAGAACAAAGGGAGACTAGCTGGTGGGCAGCATCCCCTTCCTGCAATCAAGCATCCCCATGTGGCGGCGCAGGATGAATCAGAGTTTCTTTTTTCCTGATCATTTTATTTTTATTTTGTTTTATTTGGGTATTTTTACCCCGTCCAATATGTTGCAGGTCTCTGGACAGGTTTCAAGTCAAAATCCAATAAATACACATAAACCCAAATAATACAAAGTAAAATAAAAACAATACAAGATTTTAGGAGAATTATGAGGATCGGGGGACTGGGTGGAGGCCTGGGAAGCAAAGAAAGGACCCCAAGCACTCATGTCTTGGGGATTTTTCAGGGATTGGGTCCCTGTCCAACAGCCAGAGCTCCCTGCGTTGCTTTATTTGGACACCTGCATCCCGTCATTTTGCTCCACACCAGGAGTTTGCATGGCACTCCTCCCGCTCTCCGTTTTACCCTCTTTGGCTGGGAGTCAGTGACGGGCCCGAAGTCGCCCCGGAGCTTTGTGGCTGACTTCCAGCCATTTCCCGAGTCCTGGCCCAGCTGTAACCCATGTACCACATGGGCTCTCAGGTCAGAGCTAATTAAGAAGTTTACCCTTGTGTTGGCTGTGTGTCTATCTTCCGGTTTACTCATTTTATAATTTGGAGAAGGAGTGTCCAGCTCCGCTTTTTCAAGATATCCCTGCACATGTTCTGATGTAATTTATTGCACAGTTCTAAATTTCCAAAGCCATGCATTTATATTCTGAGTTGAAATAAATCAGCAGCTTGAAAGTGTCTGTAAATGCAACTCTGAGGGTTCATTAACTTTTGGGTGTGAAGCAAGAACTCTGACGGATTTCTTTGATTCCTCTTGGTTCAGAGAAAGGCACTTGAAGCAGGATGTTGGATCCAGAACCCCCTGGATTTGTGGTCACAGGACAAGAATTCCATGGAAACCTGAATGAAAAACACTGTGAAGGATCCCTTATAATTATAATGTTGTAACTCTTTAGGGTTTGGCTATTTAAAATCATCAGGAAAAAAGAAACACGCTCCACTGATGTCATTTCATTTCAGTTAGTACATTTGTACTCCACTGACCTGCCTATCAAATAGACCCCTCTCCTATTTTGTGTAGCCAGACTTGTCCTGCTTCTCCAGTGAGGAAGCTGATGATTCACATTTTGCATAAGTCCAGAGATGTTCATGTCTCCAGCTCACGTGCTGGTAGAAACATTCTCCACTTTCTGTATTTCTAGGGAGAGATGTCGTTCTGGAAAGCATCTTGTCGGACACCCAAGTCTTTGGGGGCATCTTCACAAAGGCCCCGAAAGTTCCACTCCTTGTACTCAGTCCAGAACTACAGCTTCATTCTTTTTCCCGTGCGGTCTTAAAAACCACGATCGCATCTTATTAAATCTGACATCTCCACGTGAGAACGAGGAGCGATTTTCTTGCATAGCTTGATGAGACTCTGTGTCTTCTCCTTTCTCCTGTCAGAACATCTGCCCGCCTGGACGTGAGGCTCCAGTCACTCAGCAGCAGATGCACCAATGCACTGTGGGCGCTGTGGGTTTTTCCTCCGTCAGAAGTTTTCACAGCTCACCACCATTCTCACTTCCACTGCTCACCATCTCCTGAGATGAAAGGGGCCAGTTTTCTGGGATTCCTACCAAACTACAAAACCCATATGCCTTTCCCCCCCTCTCTCGCCTGACAATGTGAGGAGACGGCGCAATCAGTGACGAGGCAGAAACCTTCCCATGATTGATTGATTGATTGATTGATTTAAAGTTTTTATATGCCATCCCCTTTCTACGTAGCCTCCGGACGGCTCACAGAATGATGGATCAGGAAGATACATAGCACTGTCCTTTTTCTTTTCCATTATCTTATACCTCCTGTCTCATAATTAAAGCCCCAAAGAATTTGCCTGTGCAACAGATGTTGCATCGTTACAGAAGTACTTTTTCGACCGCTCTCCTAAAACCTGGCACTAGCCAGACCAGCTTGGCAAGTAACAAATTGATCTTGGAGCTGGGCTGACCACATTATTTGACCACATAAAACAATTGTATTAGATCTAAAGTGAATTTGGGCCGGGAAGATAACTCAAATTTTAGTCTTTTTTTGCAAGTATTCTAATTTTTATTTATCAAATCTGACTATTTTAGCATTCCCAGTTATGGGCACTGAATTTTGGTGAGCTTTTTAAAGCTGTAGAAAAGCATAGATTATGGATGTAGCTTTGTATTCACTGAATTTTTAAAAATGTTTCTTGCAAAGCTGAGTTTCAAAGAGCAAAATTGGAAAATGTGAATGTATGTGAAATTTTTGTTTCAGTTCTGATAGGCGCCTGTCTTTGAAGACCCAGGATTTGAGATGACTTTTAAGGGGAGTTATCTTTTAAACTGCAGCATGAGACAAACTTGCAGAAATCCCTGAATCCCCCTCTGCAGATAGAACACGCAACACTGCCCTTCGCTTCTTTGCCAGTAGAAAGATCTACATCATCTGGGCCTGGGCCAGGTTCCCCAAAATATCAAGAGTCTGTCTTGGGAATGCACACGCCGCTTCCACTCTCTTCATCTTATTTGTCTGTAATGCCTGTGAAGAGTTTTCACCAACTAACATGAGTAGCATGTTCACTACAGAAAGTATTATCACAGAGGTTATCTTGAGTGGTTGATTGAGCTGATATGAATGTGGTGGATTCCAGGGTGAGGATGTGTTCAGAGCGGTTTCCCAGGTAGGTTAAGTGCTGCCAAGAAGAGAGGTGTTTATTCCTGGAGAGTCCTTGTTTTGGATTGCCATCAGTGCTCTCTTGCTAATTCCTTTGTGGGTCATTTGGTCCCGTGGGTATGAACGTATTCTCAGCACCATCCCTGATTGGTAATGAAGGATTTGGTGTGGTGTATCAGAAAGGTGAATGTCTGAAAAGATCCTTCTGTCTCGGAAGGACCCATGAACTTTTGTTACCTCAAGGAAAGTGTGTTCCTATAAAATGCCTGTCGAGGAAATGAGGAATAGGAGTTTTTCTAGAATTATTGTAGATTGGTGGATACTACAGGAAAACAGCTACAGCTGTTTAATATCCTGTGGAATGCGATGGATTGCTTGGTTTTAGAGAGAGGTGTCAATATTAAAACTCAGGCTTAGGATCATGGCTTCCCCCTGGTGAATCTTGGGATTGTTAGTTTGGTGAAAGTACTGAGAATTGTCTTGTAGGAGTTCCCTAGCTCCACCCTCCAAGAAAGGGAGGAAATGACTACTAAGCCAGTTCAAGTCAGTAGTGCAAAGGTGCCCACATAAACAGAGAGAGATGGGACCTAAGGGCAGGCTTAACTGGAGATGCAGGCCATCAGTGTCCAGTCCTGAAATGCTGTATTTGTTTCAAGGTTTTGGGCCTAGAACATGGTACCTCTTAAATGTGTTACTCTGAGCATGTGCAAAATGCCTTCATTGCTGAGTAAGAGCACCAGCAGCAAACAGCCCACCCACCCACCTGTATTATGAAGGCATGATTTCTGGCAAATCGTGAGTTTAGAAATTAAGCACAATTTGAATGGTAGTGGTAGTACCTATCTGTGAGTGGGAGAGAGAGCTGTTCCTCTTGCAGCTCTTTATCTGCATCTTGTATAATTATCTGGAACTGTTGCATCTCTCATCTGTTCCTCGAGGCAGATGGCTGAAACTCTTAATAGTAATAAGAATAGTTCTGGCTGCGATCTCTTGCACCAGGGAGTAAGCGCCACTGGGCAAGTGCTCATCAGGGATATTTCACTAGAGAATTATAGGCTTGTTGTTCACTGGATCTGTCAATATTTCCTAAATCTCTTGTAAGTATGAGAAACTACTGATCTATCCATCCATAGTTCTAACAGGGAAGGGGCAGGGCAGTAAAAATGGTGGCAGTAAAGGGTGTACGCAGTTTTCTTGTAGTTGATACACTGACTGCATAGTTATCTGGATTTAAAAAAAACCAGTCTAATATCTTCTACACTTTTTGGATCAGTTAGGCACTGCTTCCAATGAGAGTTTCACAAATTTTCTGTTTATGATATAAAAACTGCCTGTGGTTATGAAAATTATTTACTAGAAGACACACACAGTTTTCTTCGAAAAAGCGGAAATCAAGGGAAAGAGAAAAACTTGTTTCAATGCATTTTTTTGAAAGGCAGTGTGTGATTGTATTTCTTGGCTGTTCTTGGCTGCTTTGATACTTCAAGCTGATACGACCCTACGATTTTGCACTATGTTGTACATTTGTAAAGTTTTGCAAGGTATGCTAATTAAAAGGTTTTCTTTTGTCCTGATTTAGTGCTGCTTCAGCAAGCCCTCGTTTCCTTTTGATTCATTTCTCTCTGCGTAAGCATTAATAGCATGCACCTATTTGGCTATCCTCACAGTGAAATCCTGTCCTTCCTCTAAGGTGGCCAAGGAACTCATGTTACCAGCTGCATCTTAGCACCCACAGGATGTAAGCCCTGCTCCCTCCCTGCTGGTTTGGCATGGCAAATGAGGTTGGAGAGCGACCTAATGGAGGAGGAGCTGAGGGTGTCTCCCTAGATGAGGATTCAGTATTCCACATAAAAAGCAACATAACAGATGATGCAAGAAGTAACAGAAATACTTTACTTAGTCTGAATTCCAATGAAAACAAAACTGCAGTTTTAATAAGCAAAGTAACAATCCAGAAAGCATGTTTGAATTTAGTGGGAGAGAGTTAAGCAAAGGCTTCCTCACTAAAAACAAAGAGACTCAAAGTGCTTCACTTCGAATGGAGCTCTTTAATGATAAAAGGAGGTCGCAGAGAACTGAATTCCTACGTTAGTTGACTTGGTGGCAATGCACCTTCATACTGCATGTCACGGGAAGATTCTCCATGTTCTGCACTCAGAAAAACTAAACATTAACACCAGCTCTGTCTAAGTAACCTTATAATGGAAATGCCTTTTTGCTGGAAACTGAACAGCTTCACTAGCCAGGACTGGGTGACATATGAGTCTTGCTATTTGAGGTTATGCTTGGCATGGAATTCCAGCAAACCAAGTTACTGTGGAAATAGCATTACAAAATCTCACAGAGCATCAACAATTGCGGGAATCTCTGTGCTGAGTTCATTGTTCGGTCCGATTTATACTTGGTCTCTTCACTTGTTTTCTGGCACATTCTGTTCCGTATCTGCTTCAAAAACACTCCCTGTTGAAAGGTAAAATTGTAGTTAGTTTTCCTACTATTTGAAAGAGAAGCTAGAGGACCAGCCACTAGGTTGTGTGTTGTTTCAAAGGCTGGAGAGGCAGCTGAGGTTGCTCGGTATGAACTGGACTGGAAGGATGATCCCTTAGCGCTCCACACTGGTGGGCCCCTCAAAGTTTGGGGGAGAGGCAGAGCTCTGGCAGTCACTGGGACTCGCTGGGGAGGACGCGGGCTCAGTGAAGCTCGAGCTCTGGTTGCTCAGAGCTCCAGTGGGTGCTGTGGAGCAGGACTGGGCAACCTGTAACCAGCCAGGTATTTTGCCCTCATGCTCCCTCACCCTTGGCAATACTGGCGAGGGATGACTGGAGCTGGAGGCCAAAACATTCGAAAGGCTGCAAGTTGCCCACTTCTGATACAGAGCCCAGTCTGGTCATGTCTTATACTCAGACACCTGAACCCACTGGCTGTTCCAGGGCCAGTTTGATGAGGCAGCTGTGACGGGGAACTGTGCCTCCCCTCTACCCACTAGGCATGCCCTTCTTGATCCACAAATGGCCACACACCAGCCTGAAAGTTTGCACGTGGCCTATGCAGTGCATGGCCTTGTGGCCGCTGTGTGATTGCATGTGGATAAGCATGATGAGGTTTGGGCCCGGATGCAATGGACTCCGTTTGCCCCCACCCTCCGCAAAGGTGATGTGCACCGGCCGACCTCCGGCTGGCTCTTGACGAGAGAAGTCACGCCAGGCAGGCTGGAGCAGTCCCACTCCCTCACCGCGACACATGCAGCGTATCATCCAGGCTAGACCCTCACACCCTCGGCATGATTACGTCCCAGTGAAATCGATGAGACTTCCGGGATGAAGCTGGTAAGCAGCAGGTGTTCAACTGCTGTGATTATGAGCCAAGCACACTTCAGCATGTGGAAACTACTGCAACTGATTTCTCTAAGAATCAATATGTGGATTGGAATGTGCCTATAAAGATGGGGTGCCCACAGAATATACCCTTAAAACCAGGCAGGTGGATGCAAGGTCTGTGTTGTAGGCCAAGACATCTGAAGGAGCCCAAGTCGCCTTGTTGGTGTTGAATTTACCTTGGCAAAGAGACACACCATCTCTGTTTCCCACAACACTGAGATATAACTCTGCTGTCTCCCTGTGTGGTGGTGACTGCAGGGATGAAGCCAGTGGTTCTGTAATAATCTCCTCGATCAAGGGCCTCGGCGGGTACTTTGGGGGTATTTTGGCTTCCAAGACTTCCTCTTCTCGTGCTAGAAGATCTGCCTCATTGGGCCTCAGGGCTTCCTTTGTACCAACTTCAGGTGCCTTACATCCGTTGGAGAAGATGGAAGTTGGGACATCTTCTGCTACCACATTCCCAGAAATAGCTGCTTCTCCTTCAACTACGTCGTCTCCATCATTGCTTGCTTCAGAAATCACTTCAATTTTTGGAGGAGAGGTTTGCTATAAAGGTAAAACAAACATCTCAAAAGTGTTTGCTTCCACCAACGGCAACCTTGATGCTCTGACCTCGTGCCACTCAAAGGCATTTCGCTTTCCAAACTACAGCAAGCTTAGCTCTTCTACAGTAAGCAGGGTGTTCACAATTGCTTAGCACAGAAAGAGTACCTCTGTCACTCAGACTTGCATGATATTGCCATCTGTTTGACTGCCCTGCATTCTCCCAAAGAATCCTAAGAATGATGCTTGGTGATGGCACTTAAATCCCTGGAATTCCACCCTCCTAGAAGGAAGGTCCCTGTGGAGAATGACTGCTAAAGCAAGTGGCTGCAAAGTAGGTGTTCACCCGCCACCTCCCCCATCAAGCTTCACAGCTGATTTTTCCATCTGGCCTTCTAACAAAATCCTGTGTCTATGAATACTAAACCCACTTACGGAATTTAACAGAACTTCTGAGTCGACACGCATCGGGTTGCACTGTAAGCCAGGGGAAAGGACTGTTCAGTTCTGCTCTCTCTGCAGCTACTGGATGCACAGAAAGCAACTGCTGCTGTTGAAAATGGTGGTGCAGAAAGAGCAGGGGGGCTTCCTTTTCACATATTCCCCGCACTTGGTGGCATATGAAAAAATGCTGCTGGAATCGACTCCCAGGCACAAGCTAGGACTTAGAATGCACCAGAAGCCAATACGCTCAGGACCCTTCTCAGGCCCCTTTCCTGGAAGAGTCATCCGCGCAGCGGGTCTGCGGATGCTCTTGGACACAGGGAGTGGCATAGATGTGCCTGTCCAGAGCCACTCAGATGGGCTGGTAAAGTGCATGGCAGATCGCAGAATGCAGCTGCAGAATGGGGGAGCCCCCTCGGAGCCCAGCTTGCATCATCCCACCTACTGGAGCAAGTGGGAACAGACCATTGAAGGAGGTCCTTCCCCACGGCAGAAAAATCACCCCGGGGCAGAGAGTGAATGGAGGAACGTTTTAAAGGGCACCAGGATTCTGAGATGGCACGGTCTGGGTGGAGCACTGCACACATTTGGTCTTCCATTTAGAAAGAACAGAACACAACAGAAAAGGAGCAAAGGAGAAATGTTTCTTTTTTTGTCAATCGTGATGGAGGCATACCGCATAAATGGCTTATTCTATGCATATCAGCTGCCCAGATAATCATGTACACAATCCTTCTAAAAACAGGTAAATTCTGTGCATGGTAGGTATTTGGGAGGGGAAAATATTTGCAAAGCAATATTTGCAAATATTTGTCTCAAGATGGCCCTGCCTTTAATACCTAAGATGTTAAAATCCATTGTTGTGTTATAAGTATAAACACATTCATTATACAAACCACAGGATTAAGAAAGCAACATTTTATGAGAATAGTTCAGAACATTCACCTTTCTGGTAAAGATTTCCCCCTGTACTGAGGCTTCACTGGTATCAAGATCTTCCAAATCAGGCAGTTCCTAAAATGAAAGTTACTCTGTGGTTTATTGATGAAGGCAGCTTTTAAAAACTGAGAAATCAGGTTTGTGAAAGTGTGATAGCACAAAACTGGAATTCTTCACCCTGGCCAAACCCCACCCTTTCCCCTTTCTCAGCCAGTACATACATCAAGAAAGAGCTTCTCTGGTATATCCAACTGAATGTGTTCGATATCTGCTGGATCCGCCAGGTCAGTAAGCTGTGGCCCTGGTGCAGCCGTCTTAATCTTATCTACTGCTATCCCTGAAGAATGCAAGAAAAAAATGCTGACTAGTTCTGGGCTCAGTTACATGGAAGTGGGGAGGGCTGCCCTGCCCTGCATTTTGGGTTTTGAAATCTGTCAGGACACCAGGCATCATTCTTGTTTGCTGCACTTTTCTATTCAAATATAGCTATTACATGTTCAGCCTGCCTTTCTTCCTCTAGCAAGGAACTCTAGCAAGACTCCGAATGTAGGAGGCGGCTTGCAAACGTTTTATCCCTTCCCCAGGTCTGGAAGTGCAGTGTGGGGTAGTGGCTAAGAGCGTGGGACCGGGCCTTGGGTGAGCTGGGTTCGAGTCCCCGCTCAGCCATGGAGCCCACCATGTGACTTTGGGCCAGTCACAGACACTCACCCAACCCACCTCAGAGGGTAGCTGTCATGGGAATAAGACTGAGAGCAGGAGGAGGAGATTGATGGAAGCTGCTTTGAGCTCTTTTGATTATGACGAAGACAGGAAATAGCTCTAATAATATTATCAGAAGAGGGTCACGCAGACTCCATGCCCACCCATCCCCCTTAAAATGCTGCTGTCTTTGACAATCCGGCGTTTGCTGAGGCAACTAGTACTTTTGCCATCAGTTCTAGCAAAATTGGGATTGTGTTTGGCACACCGTCACGGCTGCAGTTCTGTTTATCTGCAGATGCCACTAACCTTCTTCAGTAGATCGTCTGTGGGAGCCCATGCTGAAGCTTGGCTCTTGTGCTCCCTGTTGATGGCCACCTGGATGACCACCGTCTGGTCTTCCCAACGGATCTCCTGAGATTTCTGCTGCTCTCTGAGCCTCCTCGTGTGCATTCATGGTTTCCTCCACAAATTTCTCAATCTTCTGCTTTGTTTCCAGCTCTTCTGAAGTACAGGGTGTCTCCACTCTATTGTCTCCTGTATTGTTGCTGTCTGAAGATGGGATTTCCCCTGGAAGAGCCCAGTGGCCAATAAATTTTGCTTACCTGCAAGTAGGACTAATTCTTCAGTTTTCCTTGTGCAGCACCTTTTTTTAGATATGCAAAACAGGGACGCTTCGCCCTGGAGAAGCCTCCCACAGATCAACCCCGGCTTTTCATTTCCAGCCTGAGCAAAGCAGCAGAAAGCGGCCATTCCAAAGATAACAAACTCAGCCCAGATCTCTGCCTTTCAAAGTCACTCCTTTGTTTCCTACAGCAAGCTGGGCTGCCCTAGTGCTGAAGGCAGTGAATGCAGAATCTGAGGTCAACCTCTCTCACCAGCGAAGCCAGCAAGAGACAGCACTTCTTCCGACAGAAGCAAATGCGGCCGTGCTGGCAATAAGCGGGCCCACGGCGTGCAGTGGTGCAATGCCTTCGTCACACCATCCGAAGGGATGCTAGTTGTGCGCCCACCCTGCTGTGCCGTTCCCTAGGTCTCTTCACGAGGCAAGATGTGAGAAAGAGCAGGGGATGCAGGGGAAGAGGCAGGGCAGTCCCGGTGTCTGCGTGAGCGCGGCCTTGAGAGGAAACGGTGCAAGGGTGACCTGCTGACACTCCCCGGAGGCTCTTGCAGGGTAAGCGGTGGCTTTGGGCTTCGGATGCCTTCCCCCAGTTATAAAGAAACATGAAATCTAGCTTTGCTCATTCAGTCTCAAGGCAGTGATCATGCAGACTGCCTGGCTTCTGGTTTTCACCCTCCCTCTCGCCACCCCCAGCCCTGCTTTTTGGACCATCTTGCCTCATGAAGAGCTGTGACGATCTTGGAAGTCTGCCTTTTTCTTTTTTTGTGTTCAGGTGTGCTCTGGTTCCCAAGTATGCTGCCCTGCTCTTCCAGGGATGCCCTACTGGAGGTTGAAAGCTACAAGGATAGACTATCCCAGCTGTGCAATTCCTTCTTGCTGGAAGTTTGCTCGATGATCCAATCCATTTATTTTGAAGCATTTGTGAAGAATTTCCTTTTTTATTTTTTTTGGAAGGCATTTAGAATGTTCTCAATTGGTTTTAAATTCTTCTGTTTCATTGCGATTATTAAGGGATATTCTGCGAGTTACACAAAACAACTTACAAAAAAGCATAAAAATCAATCTTCAAAACAAGTTTATAACAAACTAAAAGCACTAGAAAAGGCAAAAAAATCAAAGAATGAACACTAACAATCACACCCTAGCAATTTATGATTGTACTACTGGTACTGCTCTTTGGCTTATTAGTTTATAACTTGCTAGATAGTGGATAAGGGTAGACAGGAAAGGCCAGTAAGAATAAAACTGCTCTGATCTTGAAGATTTACTTGGTTATATTCTGAACCAGCACCGTGGCACAGTATGTTTACTCAAATGCTCCATCACAAACCTCCTCCTTGGCCAGCTGCTGTTCCAACTTGTCCTTCCGTCTCCTGCTGCCGCCTCTTCTCCTCAGCTCTTTGCCGAACTGCAGCGAGAGCATCCACGCTGTCCTGGATTTTCTTTCTTTCTCTGGACTCCCAGGCATCCCTTTCTTTTTTCTCGGCCTCACGGCCACCGGCAGACCAGGCTTCAGCACAGGCTCTGATGGCGAGAAGAGGGAAAATTCCCATCAGGCGCTTGGCACCCCATGTTCCATGTTTCCACAGGGTGGAGTGGTTGGTCTCCTCATCCGAGAACGTACGACGTCTGTCTTCTGGCTGGATTTGCGCTCCTTGTGTGAACCGTGCCTCCATTTGAGGGCTATAAGAGTGCACGCTCTCTGGAGAAGCAAACCCAAACAAAGCTCACTCTCCTGAACTGACTGGGGCTGCTACATGTATAACCACATGCCTTTGTTTAGAATCAGCTTTTTATTGTGTTGCAGGCTATCCTGTTTTGTTTTGTTTTTAAATCTTCTAACACTTCCATGAGGTTGGTTGTTAATATTCCCATTTTACCAATAGGATAGCCAGAGTTGATGAGATTCTTTGTGTTCTGAGACTGCCAAAGAAAGGGTACCACCTCCTCCTCTCTGCCCGTCTTACCTGTCCTTTGGAAAAACGGGCCTGTCGTCCAAATATGTCAGATGCTTCAATCGGATGGTAAGTGTCCTCCTGTAGTTAGTAATTTTCTTAGTTACACCATTTCCCATTAAGTTCAATACACGCTGTAAAAATAAAGGCAAAATAATCTTAACATAAAAAGTGGAAGACAGTAGAAATAATTCTTGTAATGCATGTGAATCGAACCTGAAACTAAAAAAAAAATTTAAAAAATCCAATTTTCACAGAAATCAGCTATGCAAACTGTCCATCCCTTAACTCCCAACACCTTCATGCATGGGGCTTGCATGTCACAGTAACCCACCTGGGCAGTAAGTGGGCTGGTTGCTGTGCAAGCCACCTAAGATGGGCTGAGAGAGCATCAAGCCTGCTCTGGGTTATTCTCTTCGTCCTTTGCCCTCATCAGCCCCGGTGGTATTCCAGGGAACTTGGTGGCTAAAGCCACCTTGTCCCCATTCCCTGCCACAACCGCAAGCCCCGTTTCACTGCCCCTGCCCACGCCACTGAGCCCGTGAACAGCATGATTAAGTGTGCTTGCATCTGTACAGCCCTACCTGGAATTCTGTTCTCTGCTCATGCTAGAGCGTGGTGGTACTTCTGCTCCCTGAGACATTAGATACAGTGTCAGCCCTCCCCCTGTGCACTGAATCAACAGTGGGAGTCATTGGGTGCTTATGAAAGGATGGGTCAATTATATAACCCCAGTGATACATCATGTACCCGAGAGAGGTACACTCTGCTTACCAGATCAGGCATGGTCTCTAGGACACCCAAGATATTGGGGTCGTCTAACTTGTTGTGAGAAAGGTCAAGAACACTAATACTTGGACATTCCTGTAGGTGCTGTATGTCTTCGACGGTTTGTAACATGTTGTGAGCAATCTGCAGTGTGTGCAGAACTTTCAAACAGGCTGTTGAAGAAGAAAGTGAGGAAACTTCATTTAGACAATCTCTCCTGCAAGAAGCTTCATATGGAAACCCTCCCTGAGCTCTGCCTGGTGCTAATGGGGGGGGGGGGGGCGCAGGGGGGCTGATCGTCCTTGCGATGAGACACCGCAATGCTGCATTTCTTTGGAAGACCCATTCACATCTCATCACATACTGCAGCCAGCTCAAGAGCTGCCAATCTCAGGCAAGTGAGCAAGCTTCGGCGAATGGGGCGGCATAAAAATGTTTAAATAAATAAATAAATAAGCAAGCAAGCAAGCAAGCAAGCAAGCAAGCATCCCAACAAATTTTGGAATCCTGACCGCAGATATTCAGGATTAATATGCAAAAAAGACACTATCCTACTTCAGTTGTAGCTATCTACAGAGGTCCTCTTGGTAGGTGGTTCAGGTTTCCAGTTAAGTGATTTTGGCCCGGCCCTGGATGAACAGGGTCCGCAGCTTGGGAGTGCTCCTTGGCCCGGAGCTGTCCCTGGAGGCCCAGGTGGCGCAGTGGCAAGGAGCACTTTCCTTCAGCTTCGGCTGATCTATCAGCTGCATCCTTACCTGGACAAGCACCGCCTAGCAATGGTGACACATGCTCTGGTAACTTCCTGGTTGGATTACTGTAAAGCGCTCTATGTGGGGCTGCCCTTGAAGACGGTCTGGATTCTTCAAATGGTTCAGAACAGAGCTGATTGCTGTCGGGGGGCGGACGCTATTCTCATATAACACTGGCCCTCTTCACTGGCTTCCAATTGAAGTCCGGTCCCAATTTAAGGTGCTGGTATTGACCTATAAAGCCCTAAACGGCTTGGGACCAGGATACCTGAAGAAATGCCTTTTTCCCTATATGCTCACCTGCTCTTAAGATCTGCAGCAGAGGCCCTGCTCTGGGAACCCTCCTTGAAGGAGGTTAGGAGAGAATATACTCAGAGGAGGGCCTTCTCTGCGGTGGCACCCCGGCTATGGAATGCATTCCCCAGAGAGGAACCACCTGGTGCCGACGTTATACACTTTTTGGCACCAGGTCAAGACCGTTTTATTCTTCCGTACTTTTAATGTTTAACTATGCTTTTATGCTCAGTTTGTGGATCAGTTGTACTGTTTTATTTGGGTATCTATGTACTTATGGGATTTGAACTGTAAGCCGTCCTGAGACTCACTGGGTATTGGACGGGGTAAAAATTACCCAAATAAATAAATATCTTCTCTTTTTAAATACTTGATAGTGATTACAGCAGCACAGACACTGCTCTTTCAAGAAACAGATTCTGCTCTTGTGTAATTTTATTTAGTTATTTGCTTGTATAGGTTTAAAGTCTCTTTGACAAATGTCTTATTTGGAGAGGAAAAGTGGGACGAAAACGTCTGAGAGGTAAGTACTAGCATGGATCAAACAAGTCCTTTTCCCTGCAGGAAAAACTTGTGTGTGAATGTGCGAGTTAGTTTAGAACTAGGATCAGGTTCCTCTCTGAATAATCTCACACAGTTGAAGGAGAGAATCTGCAGGCTTCACTAGCACACCATACGCAGAGCGGACAGCTTCTGCTTCTGCCTGCATGTTTATAACTGTGCACGCAAGTACAGACACTATGCCTGGAAAAAGCAGTGCAAAAGACAATGGATTTATATTTCAGGAAGGGCAATGGAAACACCAAAGGCTGTATAAGCAAGCTACAGTGTTGCTGTTTTTGAGCACTTAAAAGCACATGGTGACAGAAATTAGCTTTGTCTCACTAGACCACATTATCCTTCCAATACAGAATCAGAAGAATTGGGTCTATAAGAGTCAAGGAGAATAGTGCACAGTGGTGAACGCTTGCCTCTACAAGGTGCTGTGGCACTGGTTTGCCCTGTATTTTAACACACAGGCCCCTACACATGCCTGATAATAACAGCCCTAAATCACGCAGTGTTTATAGAAAAAATTCTACTTCAGTGAAGGTAGAGATTCCTACAGAGGTTTTCAATGGTCTTGACATAATTGTTGCTGAGGTTGAGAGAGTCTAGCTTTTGCAGGTGTTCGAGGTTCTCAATTTTGTGAATCAGATTGAGCTGCAGATAAAGGCAACGCAAATCTGTCTGTGCAGTCAGATTCTCAATCTTGGTCAGACCGTTGCATTCCAGCCAGAGGCACTTCAATCCTGTATATTCTTCCAGGTTCTCCAGACGATCAAATCCTACAGAGAAAGAATCGAGAAGTAGAAATGGAGAGGTACCCTCAATGAAACATAATGGAAGCATGAACCACATATTAGAATGGGGGGCTGCTGTCTTATAAAAGGGGGACTAGTTCGTGACTTAGGAATGGTAGGCAAGACAACCCAACCACTTGATAGGTAAAACTGCAGTTTAATATGCATGCCTGGCAGACACCAGTGAGTCAAGAGGGCAGCAAGGAAGCACCTTATATTAATGGCAATTGCTTCCAAATGTTGCATTATCAACAACCCTTCTGGAAAAGGGAAGCATAAGTACAGGACTGTAGATCTCATGAGAGTATAGAGGATTCCCTTGCTGCAGAACCCAACTCTTTTCTTCCCTCAGTGGCACCAGAACTCAGCTGCAGATCTTCTGTCAAGGAAGCTATATAAATACGAGTGGAATCTCCACTCAGGGAATTTTCCATGTTCTTGGAGAGGTATCTGACCAGTAAACCTGAATCTAAAGCAGCACTGGATTCTTCTAAGAACTTTAAAATGTTTTGCACTGATCCATTTTGCATCCTTACATCATGGATGAGGGCATGGTTGACTGACCGAGAGCAGAGGGTAACCATTAGTGGGGAATCGTGGGGATGGCAGCCAGTGACAAGCGAGGTCCCCCAGGGCTCTGACCTGGGGCCGATCCTGTTTAGTCTCTTCATCAGCGACATGGAAGAAGGGGTGAACAGTCTGCTGATCAAATTCGCAGACGACACTAAAACTGGAGCAGTGGCCACAACTGAGGAGCAGGTACTCCAGATCCAAAAGGATCTGGACAGACTATGGAAGTGGGCAGGAGACAACAGGATGGCGTTCAATGTGGATAAGTGCAAGGTGTTGCACTTGGGGCATAGGAATAGCTGTCATAAGTACAGGTTAGGTGACAAGTGGCTGGAGAGCAGCACTTGTGAAAGGGACCTCGGGGTGCTGGTTGACTGCAGGATAAACATGAGTCAGCCGTGTGATGTGGCGGCCAAGAGGGCGAACGCCACCCTTGGCTGCATAGCCAGAAGTGTGGCTTCTAGATCGAGAGAGATATTGCTACTACTCTACATGACTCTGGTGCACCCACAACTGGAGTACTGTGCTCAGTTCTGGGCCCCTCTTTGGCCACAAGGTTGGTGGCTGGTTTGCAAGGAAAGCCATATGAGGTGAGACTGAGGGAACCAGGTCTTTTCAGCCTGGAGGAGACTCCGAGGGGATCTGTTGGCAACATATAGGTATGTGAGGGCGTGTCACACGGAGGTGGGTAGTTCTCCCCTGCAGAGGAGGGCAGGATGCACTCCAACAGAGCAAAGCTCAAGGAACCAAGGTTCAGTTTGGATGCCAGGAAGCACTTCCTGACAGTTAGGACCCCAAGGGTGTGGAATGGGCTTCCCTAGGAGATGGTTGAGGCCCTGTCCGTGAGGGTGGTCAAGGATAGGCTAGACATGCACATGGTGGGCATGTCATGAGTGAAGCCGACTGGAGCCAGGGGTCAGACTAGATGGCCTGGGAGGCCCCTTCTGACTTGCTCTGTTTCTATGTTTCTATGAATTGTAATACTCTATTTAGAGCAGGTGGCACTGTGGGGAGCAGAGCACTCCTGAAAATGAACATGCCCACCAAAGATGGGTGTAAGTATTTCTTGTTCTGCCTCTTGGAACAAATAGAAATGTTGCTGCTGTTTTAAATCAGCGGTCCTAAAACTATCAAATAGAAAGCAAGGAGAGACTTCTGTCTACTCCTTTATCAGAAGTCTGAACAAAAATAAAAACTGAGAATGAAAAAACACTGATTCATCCTGTTCTGCTTGGAAGGCAGAGGCAAGGGTGAGCTGAGCTCCCTCCATGGCAGTGGGGTGCGACACTTTGCCTGCCTGCTCCACCCCTTTGCTGACTGAGAATATCACGTTGTGCCTGTTGCAACCCTTTCCAAAGACAACAGACTTCCCGAGAGAGCGAGAGAGAGAGAGAAAGCGGGAGCAGGGCTGGTTGGGCCTCACCCAGAGAACAGGCATGCTCTACATCCTTTCCGCTCTGGGCAGGGGGGAGGGAACAAGTGGCCCACCCCTACTTTAAATGCAGGAGGAAGGGCTACAGCTGATATTCCACATGTTCTCTTTCTCCACACATTCACTTACTCACCCTTCATAGTGGGAACAACAGAACTCTGAGTTTGTGGTGAGGGTGAGCGGCACGGTATAAAATTTACATGTTGACGGGTGGGTGCCATGTTTATATACACTGATCCAGAGCCAGTTTGTACACTGTTCCAACAAATTACAGTTCTACATTCTCACAGTACTGTTTCAATTACCTTTGTAATGGAGATAGAGGGTGTCATTCAAGCATGGGGTCATGTATAACTTGTGTTGTTTGCAGAGATCTCTCAGGACCTTTTTGGTCATTCTAAAAGATTAACAGGTGTGAATCTCTGAAAAAGACCTCAGTTATAAAACACATACTCCAAAAGTTCCACCTAGTCCTAGGATAGTCAGGAATTGATCTCAAAACACCAATCTGGCTTCAAACCACACTTTCGGACTTTGATTAAACATGAAACTCTGGTCAAAGCCAATGTAGATTATGCCATGGTACACTCTAGTCATCCTTCAATAGAAGCCACTAAAATTAATGGATGTTATATAAATATGGTCTCATTGATTTCAGTAGGTCTATTTGAAGAATAGATTTTCATCCCATCTTCTGGCAAAGAAAATGACTCAGGAACACACCTGGCAGGAGAGTATATTTCTGATCTCTCAACAGAGCAAAAGCAATTGGTGACGCTACCTTTATAATACATTGCCCTGTCTGTCAAAGTTAGACTATCAATAGCAAGTAAATTACCTCATTGCTCCTCCGTTTAACCCTGACTTTTCAGAGGATGAAGCACTTGCTGGCATATGACTACCATTTGTATTCTTCTCGTTCTGTTGCTGGTTATCAGTCTTAAAGTCATCTTTCCTCTGTGGTGCTTGAGCAACAGTTGTGAAAATTAAACACTTGGATTCTTGGGGATCCAGGATATTCAGTTTAACAAGAAACTAAACCTCAGGCATAAACTAAATATTAGATTGCATCTAGTATACAAATGCACTGGAACTGATAAATATATTCCATTCCAAACTCTGTCCAGAAACAGCTCTTCTGGATTTTTAGAAACAGTTGATTTTGCTTTACAAGAGCTAATTAAGAAATTCTGGTTTTGCCTTGGAAAAAAATCCTCTCAAAACTGAGGATTAACAGACTGCTAGATATTGAGGACAAATAGCAGGGAAAGCCTGCCTGTCAACTTCCAGATCACCTAGTCAAAATGTTGGAGAAGCATCCTGCCAGCTGTTGGACAGCCACCATGTGAATGGAGTGCTGGACTGGATGGTTTGATCTAGCATGACTTTTCTTGAGTTATTATGAGAGAAAATAAGGGATTAAATTGATTATTTGGCTGATCCAGAAAAGCAGCTCCTGTGTTCTTAAAAGCATCTGCTACATTTCAGCCTTTTAAACTACTCTTAAAAGCATTGGAGCAAGGCCAGATAAAAAGGTGGCAAGAGTGCATGGCCGTCATGGAGACTTAATGTGGCAAGTGAATGCATTGTTCTGAAATGGAATTATCGTTCTTGGTCTACACCATTACCTGGTTCTCCATTGCTGTAATCATTCCCAACCATTTCCAACTTCAGCTGTTTATTAATAACATCCTTGTTCACCCCTTGCTCTCCTTCTGGCAGTTGAAGCTGTAGTTCTAGAATGTAAAGATGAGAATCAGCACAACAGAGTCTTTACTGTGCCCAGGCAACAAAAAGGCCTTGCAGAATCAAGCATCTACATTCATACTGAATACACTTCACACCTGCAGATGAGGAGATACCCTCCCATTCATATCAAATGAATTGGTTTTTAAATGCAGGCACACTCAGATCTGTCTCTGCATTAGCAGCACTGGTAACATTACACTCATTGTAGAGTGCAGAAAACTCCCAAAGCAGCTAGAAAAGTGCCAGGATCACTTACTACTACACCTAAGAAATCCTACACCTGGATCCTTAGCAACAAATGATGGTGTATTTAATCCACTAAAACAATTTGTCTGGCTAAGCCCTAAAGGATATGCACAGACTAGTTCCAAAAAGAATGGCTTGCTCTGGCAAAGAGAAAAGCAAGGGAGGATGACATGAGCTTTAACTACCATAGAAAGTAAAGTGTAGGTATGTTATTGAGGATACAGGCAGGAATGGGAGATGACACAGGGGCAGATGAATTTCCACACAGCCTTTTTGCTGGGAGGCAAAAAGCCTATCACTAGGTGCACTGGCCCGCTGTTCCTAAACAGCACTGCAGAAGCGGCCAGCCACTCTTCCTGTAATGCATTCCAGTAGCTGTGGAGAAAAGTGGTCCTTGGAATACCTTGCCTCCTTCTAACAGCCAATCGGTGCCATTCATTTTAGTATCTCTGCTGGTACATGGATGTTTGGGAGCTTGACTGTGACAGCAGCAAGAGATGAAGTCATTTTGGTTGAGCAGTTTTGCTGAAATGATTTCATGTTTGAAATTCACATGGATATACTACCATTTTAGAAAACAACTACCTGCTTTTCTTAAGCTCTCCTCATTTGGGGGGAAAGCATCTTCCGGTCCACCGTCTTTCACCTCTTGTTCATTCCCCTCCCCAGCAGCAGCTTCTTTTGATGTGGGTTCTTCACTTAGTGGATGCATTCTGAAGTGCTGCTACTGAAACAGACACCAAGAAATTTGCAGTACGTCTTACTGTGTGCAATAGCTCGTTACTGAGCTTGTATGACTTCAACAACTGGTACCTAAATGTATTTGATTCGCTCTGCCCTCCCCTTTTCTTTTGTATCACATCTGCTTGCGCAGGGAGAGCCTTAAACGCTAATTGCCACCTAGCACTTATAGAGTGCCTAAACATTTCTAAGTGAAAGACAACCACTGAAAATGAATATGGCATAGTGGTCACGGCATTAAACAGTGGGGGGGGGCTCAGAAGATCAAAGTCCCCACTTTGAAATAAAACAGCAACTCATTAGCACTACCTTCTTAGCAAACAGGCTGTGACTGCTCTGCAGAGGTAGGGTTAGGGGATGGCCTGCTATGGCTAGACCCCCAAAACTTCCATGTGGAAGCCCAAATCTCTGGGAGAGCCCCTCCATTTCTCCCCCTCTGCTCTCCAGGGCATGGCTGAAATAATGGTCCGGGGTCCCTAAGGTGTGATCCCCGTGGATTAGCTGGCATTTGGCTCACAAGAGCTTCACCTCCTGCTGCCTCCCCTAATTGTCTGCCTAAGCTTCCCCTCCTCCCCAGAACCAAATGCTCTCTCGCCCCTGTGCAAACACCCCTTTGGCAAAAGAGGGGTGTCCTCAGGATACTTTGAAAGCACACAGATACTTTAAAGCCTATGTAAGATAGCATATGAAAGTGTGGCATTTTGTTTCTTTGTCCTGCATCTTGTTGGTATCAAACGCCACGCCTGCTGCTCTGTTCATCTGTTGCTTCCCAAGGGGCGAAAAGGCCGTCGTGGAAACCTTCGCTGCAAGGGACGAGCATGGAGCTCCTGGGCATGTGCAGAGTCCACTTCCTCTCCGAGGTGAGCAGCTCTAAGCCTGACGCCGCCTCGCCTCACCAGCGGGGGCTGCTCAACAAGCCGCTGCGCCTCCTTCCGCGGTGTCCCCACTTAAATGCCACCGCCAGCAGCAACCGCCACAGCCGCGGCACTCGCCGTCCAACGTCCGCTTGCCAACGGCCACCTCGCGTTCCCATGGCGACGGCGCGCCGACGCACGAGGGGCGGTCCGGAGACGTCCTTTAGCCCCGCCTCCCATGGAAACCAGCATCTTCGGCTCCACCCCACTTTTCCCCTCCAACTCGAGGCTGAGCCACAGAGATATGAAAAGTTGAAGAGGCATCTCAGGGGCCCTTTGTAATAATCCTCCGGGCTCCAATTCCAGGCTTGGCAAGCTCTCTGAAACAAAGTTGCTGGTGAGTTTTGCTGATCTTCCGCTTTACTTTTTAAAGTGTGTGTTATTTTTTTTTAAAGTTCTTTCTCTGCTGCTTTTTCATTCTGCTTTCATTCTGTTTGGAAGTTTTCAAAGTTGTATATTATGGGTAGCCGTTTATCTTAGGCAGGGCATTGCTAAGGACCGAAAAGATTCAGCGCTCAGGCCGACAGGGCAAAATCATAAGTATTCCATAAATGCTAAAATAAATCAAGAAATGCGTACCAGATCCAAGCACCTTTAGTTCAGTTTAAAGGTTTTGCCCTTAAAGGTTTCAAGACAGCTGTGCAGTTTACAGAGACTCACGCCATAATGTGAAAGTTCCCGAAAATAAATGGCTGGGAGCTTTTCCCTGTAGGATTTGTATTCTTAAGGCGTTATAAATTAGCAATGTAAATTTGCAGTTTCTGCTTCCCTGATGCTTCCGAGACTAATGATGAGTGCTACTTATACTATTTACAACTGACGCGCCCAAATAAAGATTAAAGGCAGCGTAAGGCTTTGGTTGTATATTTCTTTTTTTAACGGCCTGTGCAGGATTTGATGTTATATTTCTTTTATCTTGCAGGGGCATAGCCGATCCTCTCCAAACCTCAGCAATTTTTCCGGTAGAAGGAAAGGCTTACAACTCCCGCCTGTCTAAACGAGCACCGGATCACACCGTAAGCCTCGCAGAACAAAAACCTGGATCTGGGATTCCCATGAGGTGCCATTCGCAATTTGGAAAAATCCACCTTCCGGGTTTTCCTCGGAGCTGGAGAGCAGAGCGATTTTCCTTCCTGGTTTACCCAATGACCTGCTAAGCTGGGGAAATACGTGTGTACGCGTGCGCACGTTCACGGCAGGCAGCTATTTAGATCGCGTAGCAAAGGCTGCGTGCGTAAGAGAAGAAAACCAGGTAAGGGAAGTAAGGGTCGACCCCTATCCTTACGTGTTTACTTAAAAAAAATATGAGTAGGATTTTTTTAAAAAATCATATTAAAAAACTCATAAAAGAAAAAAGTAACGGTGTCATGTTGGAATAATCTTATTTTCCCCCCTCGTCTCTAAAATTTGGAAGAAATGCACCTGGATTTATTAGGCATTTTAATGTGGATGTTGTTGCTAAGCCGTGGGGAAAATCTTTAGGATGCCTCCCATCTCCCCTTTTCATTCAGGGATGCATGAAAAGGTATGCTAAAGGTCTGCTTAGTCACTTGGAAGAAGGCTTGGTTGGACTTCGTTATGGGTCAATATGCATATCAGGCAGTAAAGCTATGCTGATTTATTGCATCATATCCAGCATGCCCGTAGGCAGATTCCGTTTTTGTGAAGAAAAAAACAGGCCTGCAAGAGGTCATGCGCTCTGAATGAGTAAAAAATATCTAGAAAGTCCTGATAGGCAAGTTGATGAATTGGCTGTTTTCTCTCCTCCCTGCCAACTCCCTTTCCTCTTGTACTATATTGTTTATTCCTGTTGGGAGCCGGAGGGCTGGGAATGCCCTGTGCAGTCCATGCCCGGAGCGGTTTTCCTGCTCTAATCAAGAAAAAGTAACTAGGTCTGTCTACCTTTCTGCAACAGGGACCAGAGGAGGCAGCCTGCAGCTTTTGAAAGAGACACAAAACAGAACAGGCACCACTGGGTTCACGGGATTCGTCCCAAACGCTGCTGAGCTCTCATGCCACTGATACGTGCCAGCTGGGAGCCCTGGCAGAGAGCTGTGCAGGGTGACCAAGGGTACCGATCGGGTCATGCTTAGTCTCTTTGGGGCTCAAAATGTCTTGCATCAGTGTTGCAACATTCCTGGAACCTGTTCCCAACACTGACACTAATTCCAGTTAGCACCAATTCCTCCGCTTTGCACTGAGTGCAGTCCTTCATGACCCAATCAGGACTGTATCCCTACTCTTGGCTCACCCTCTGTAAGAACAAGCTCTTCTCTGCAGAACTAGCCTCCGTAGCACAGGTCTCCCTATAGCTGCAGTGCCTGCGCCTTGCCTGACCGCTCCTGCTCCTGCATCTTGCCGTGTCTCCTGCCCTGCTGTGTTGCCTCAGCAGCACAGGTCCTCCTGCTCCTTGCCAGCTGCTCCTGCTCAGGGTGCCTGCCGTGTCTCCTGCCTCACTGTGTTGCCGCTGCCCTGCCTGCATCCCGCCTAACGGCTCCTGCTCCCGGGCCCCGCCTTTCCCCGCTGCCTCGCTCTTGTGCCTGCCCCTTGCCCGCCCTCGACCCTGCCTCGCTGTGTCGCCCCAGTAACGGAGGGCTCCCTGCCAGCCGGGCTCCAGCTCCTGCCTCTGCCAGGCCCTCCTGCAACTGCTTCTTGCTGTCTCGTGTCTCCCGCCCTGTTACCCTGTCCAAGGGACCTGCGCCTCTGCCTGTCCTCCTGGCTCTCAGCCCTGGGCTTGTTCCTGGCCCCGTCCTCCTCCTGCCCTCATGCACCCTTCCGCTTCCTGGCCTCAGCCTGACTTCCAGGACCCTGGTTTGGACAAGCGGTTCGTGATCTTGGCCTCTATCGTGACCATGATTTGGCCGTTCCATGAAACCCTGCTTTTGGACCCCCCCCCTTGCCTGCAGTTCTGCTGCCCTGCCCCAGGGCCCCTGTTGCTCTTGTCCCGCCTTGTCTCTGACCACCCACATCCCGGCCCTGGACCCTGACACCAGTGCTGCACCCCTGGAGCAGCTCATCATTTGAGCCAGTCACTCCTTCTCACCAGGGCCACCTCACAGGGTCGTTGTGAAGACCACCTACTGGGAAAGAACCTTAAGGAAGGGCGAGGTGACAGGACTGCCCACCATCGTTTTCTTCCAAGCCTGTATCTAATGATTGCCTAGTCACGCTTTTTCCTTCCATACCCAGCTCTCCCGCCTTCTCCCTTTCAGATTCCTGTTCGGCATGGCTGCCGTGGACAGCTTCTCTCTCTTGCTCCAGGAGATTGGTCGGTCCTGCAGTTGTTACGTGGAAACGCTGGCCTTAATTGGAGCCTTCTATACAGCCAAGACATGTTTTACGGTCCTGAGCAGCACCTACACCCTGGTGAGGGTGCATTTCATCCCCAGGGTGGCCAGCAGGGTTGATCTAGTGAAGCGGTATGGGTCGTGGGCTATTGTCACAGGTGAGAGGTTGAACCCGTAGCCCTTCCTGGCCTCCCCCAAAACTCTGTGGCAAGAACCGTGTGTTTCGAAAGGTTCAGCGCCAGTGCTCCGAACAGAACTCGGCGCTTGCATTTTACGGGTTAACCCCTGAGTGTTGCGCAGCCCTTGGCTGGGGCGCTCGGATGTTGTGCAGTCTTCCCAGACTTCTGAACCGCTGGACTTTGAAAAAACTGGATCTCGGATGAATGTAGTGGAAGGAGGCAGAAACTTGGGGGAAGGAGGGCGCTTGGATGGGAAAGGACCAGATATTCTCTGTGCTGTTATTGGGAGGAAAAGGAGATTAAAGGTCAGCTACTGTGGGACTGAGGTTGGCTACTTGGGAGCTACACAGTGATGTGACCTCATCCAGCTTCGTTTGTTGGCTTTGTAATGCTATATAGTGCATCCTTTGTGGCAGAATTTTTATTAAAAACTGGAATAGAATAGAGGGCAGGAGCTAGCGCTGTTGTAAATGGCTATGCTCACAAAGTAGGAACTCTGCAGAATCAAATATTTATTTTATTTACGTATATTTATAGGCCGCCTATAATTGCCAAGGCCAGTAAATATATGTAAATATATTTTTGCAAGTAGCCCTTAGTTCATTCCTGAGCTGTGTTCCTGTGGAGTTCCACATCCTCTGTTGAGTTTCTTCTTGGGTCTCTTTAGATTACTCTTGTCCTCATATTTAGTCCTCATATTTATTCTTGTCCTCATATGTTTCCCCTTCTTTAGCTGCACCTTTGCCTAGTAGCTTTGGGTCAGCCTTCAACCAGGATACTCACAACAAGCCTGTGAGGTAGGCTTGACTGAGATTCAGTGGCTGGCCCCTGTCCTTCCAGAAGCTCTTGAGCCCTAGCCTGACACTAACCACTATGCAACACTTCCTGTCGGAAACGATCAGCAGCCAGTGTGAACGGGACAAATAGGAGTGATCTAATCTGAGTGCAAAGCTGTTCTTGTTGCTGCATTCTCCAGGTTGAGAAAGACCTTTCAGGGCAGCCCATGCTGTAGGCAGTGTTACAGTACTGGTATTTAACACTGTAGGAGGAGCAGGCCTAAAGATGCCTGTCCGCATTTTTTAGAAGTCCCACAATGCTTTGTGGCATGACATTTTAAATGGCAAGAAATGAGACACGTGGTATTAAAAAAACAAGCCAACAAACCGGATCAGAAAGTGCATAAAACCAGAACTTAGGCTTCTAACCTATTCCGCCTGATTGGAAGCAAACACCGTGTTGCGGGTGGGGAGAGATGTGGCTTGTCAGATCTACTTGCCTTTTGCTTGCAGTCACCAGTCCGGAAGAAGTCCAAAATAATCTCTGAAGGGGCAGCGTCAGGTGCTCAGGGTAGAAGCAGTGATCAGCTGCACGGCTTCTGTGAGTGGAGTCTTTCCAGAAAAGGAGATCCCGGATCCACCTGCGAAACTGGACTGCAGAAACCTGATCAAGGACTGAGTCAGTGTGGTGTTGTGGTTAAGAGCGAGGACTGGGCCTTCGGAGACCCGGGTTCAAGTCCCCACTCAGCTATGGAGCCAACTGGGTGACCTTGGGTCAATCACACACTCTCAGCCCAGCCGAGCTCACCTTGGAAGGAAAGAATGTGGGTTATAAATAAAAGAAATCAGTAAAGACTGATGACTTATGGTGAGGAACACAGATGCTGAGAAAATCATAATGACTACACAGCAAAAAATTCTCTCTCTGTGCTTTTATTTACTATTTTTAAACTATTGGGAGTTAGAAACCCTTGATAATCTACTGCAGAACGCTCACAGACCTTAACCAAACCTGAGCCTGTTTTCCCCACACCCCTCTCTTCCCACCTCACTGTGCTGATGTTGGCTGGACTGACTTCTCAGTAAGCACCTTTAGGATCAGGACCCTCAGGCTTCCATGCCTTTTCTGGTTTTTTGCAGGTTGCACTTCTGGCATCGGCAAGTCCTACGCCAAAGAGCTAGCGAGTTGTGGGATGAACATCATTTTAATTAGTCGGAAGAAGGAGAAGGTGGAGACTTTTGCCAAAGAGTTAGTGGAATCCTACAAGATCGAAACAGCCACAATTGTGGCAGATTTTAGCAAAGGCCGTGAGACTTACTCCGCTATCAGGAAGGCCCTTGCAGGCAAAGAGATTGGCATCCTAGTGAATAATGCTGGTGTGTACTATACTCACCCGGATAATTTCACCAGTTTGACCGAAGATAAAGTTTGGGAACTCATCAATGTGAATATTGGGGCTGCTAACATGATGGTGCACATGGTGTTGCCAGGAATGGTGCAGAGAAAGAAAGGCGCCATTGTAAATATGTCGTCTTTGTCCTGCTGCCACCCTTCTCCACTGTTAACAGCTTATTCGGCCTCCAAGGTAAATCTCAAAATATAAATGCATGTGTTGCTGTTGTAATAGTAATTTCTTACTTTTTTATTCTTATTGCTCCTAAAAGATGGGGATCCTTTCTCCATGAGAATGGAAGGCAAGCAGCAGAGAGAAAATGGTCCCATGAGCTGTAACACCCTAATCAGCTTTTAGCTATTATTAGTTGTTGCAAATACAGCTTTAGAAATTTGGGCTGTTTGCCTGTATACCAAGGGTGAGACACCCGTGTCCCTCTAGGTGACATTGGATTCCCAATTCCCATTAGCCCCAGCCAGCAGGGTCAGAGAAGGCGGTAGTTGTAGTCCAGCTAGAAAGCTGCATATTGTCTGTGCCTGCAAGTGTACCCATGAACCTGGAGGTGGGCTCCATTGAACTTAATGGGGCTCGCTCCAGAGTAGGCACATGGGGGAGTTCACTGGTGGTGGGATGGCAGAGGACAAAAGGGTGTCTCAGTTGGGAAGTGAGATTCAGGCTCTGCTCTGTGCTCTCCGAATGCAGAAGCCAGAGGGACTGAACTGCTTGCCCTCAACCTTGCCAGGCTTACCTGGACCACTTCAGCAGAGCCCTTCACCATGAATACGCGTCACAAGGCATCTTTGTCCAGAGCTTGATTCCGTTCCTCATCTGCACCAACATGACAAAATTCAGCGACTCGCTCTCCAAGATGAGCTTTTTCGTGCCTTCCGCGGACGAGTTTGCACATCACGCTGTTACCACCCTGGGAATATCCAGAAGAACCACAGGATATTGGCGGCATTCGCTCTTGGTAAGATGGCTGATTGCTTGTGATTTTGGGGAGAGCGGTGCTGAACCAAGCTCATGGCCAGGGGAGACTTTCCGGGGATTATAAAGCCAAAGCTGGTCTTGAATATGTGCATGGAGTGTAAACCAGCATGCTCTAAAACCAGTCAACATTGCCCTGCTGTTTCTTTATTTTATTGCAGTATAGCTCTAAATGTTTCTTCCCCATTCCAAACAAAGGGGCAGAAACCGATTTTAAGAGCGTACGTTGCTACACAACTGCTCAGAACTATGCCTACACTTTTGTCGGCTGTGAACCCACACACTTCTCTTTTTTGAAGCTTAATTGACTTTGGGAGGCAGAAAATCGGGGCTTTTGGTGTGCTTTATCATTGCAGCGAAGATGCAGGTCATCACTCGGAGCATCGAAGCCACACCATGTTGGTGTACAGTGGACATAAGCAAGTGCCAGAAGCATGAATAGCTAGTATCAAATGATGCTTTCATGATTTTCTCACTTCAGTTTTAAATTTTTACTGGTGCAGCAATGCTGTCCCAGCTTCCTCCTGAACAGGCTCCCAATTTTTTTTAACATCAGTCAGCAAAAGAAGGCAGTTCCTGCCCATGAACTAAGTCTAAAGTGACAGGACATAGCAGAAAAGGCAAAGAGGAAAAATTAAGTTGACTTGGAGCAGAGCTGCAAGACCCTTGCTTATCTTCCAGTCAGAGCAGGCCCACATATTCCATATGCCCCTTCCTGTGCCCTTGTTCTTGTAATTCTTCCAAAGCGTGTGTGTTCTGGTGATGGGAAGCCTCTTTTTTAAAGCAGCAAAGAGAGGCCTGGTTAGAATGAAAAAGGGAATGAGAAATGAGACAAACTCTGAATTCTAGCTGCTCTTGCATTTTATTTTATGGTGGTATCTTTAATATTCTTATTTTTGATCATCAAATAAATGTGTTCACTTGTTCTTTGATATGGGCAGTCCCTGAATACAAATGAGTTTCTCACTCCTGAGAAAACAGAAATTTGTCTTTTAAGTTGAATTTGTATGTAAATCAGATCATGTATAGTCAGCCCTTTGCATTAGGGGCAGAGGGCTGTGAAAGTGGAAAACCCACAAATATCTCTGGCCTGCCCCCACAACTCATCAGGGCCTCCTCTTTGCAGCAAGAATATGCCAGAGTGATGCCCCTCTCTGGATGGGCAGGGCAATACAGCCCACTTTGGAGGCCCCTCTCTCCCCTTGCACATCCCCTCTCTCTGTGGTGATGCTTGGAGGTCTCCCTCTCTCCCCTTTTGCTTCCCCTCCCTCTGTGGTGATGACAACTTCCTACAGTCATTTAAAAAAACTTAATAGGTTTCATAGTAGTTGTTTCATGACTACGGGTTGTTCATAACTCAGACATTCGTAACTTGGGGACTGTCTGTACCTGAAAGGGTATGCGGAGATTTTAAAGTTTTAATAATCAAATAATACTAATTTGTGTTCCATCTCTTCTCTTGTAGCTTCTCTTTGTACAGTACCTACCAGAATGGCTGTGGGCTTGGGAATTGAACAGAAGTTTATCTGGTTTCACAAAAAAAGCTTGCCCTGGCAAACAAGAGTTACAAACGGCATGAAGGATACCTGTGAGAGGACTTGGGCCCCTTCTGGTCTTCTCTGATGGCCGGTACAAAAGCCCCAGCTTCTTTTGATGCATTTTCTTGTTTCCTGCTAAGAGGGGAAAAAATCTAGCTACCTAAAACTTATCAACAGCTTTGGCACAACCTGCAAGGTTGGTAGGTGATGACAAACTTGTTTAGACTGCTACTTTCTCTGCCTGTCTGCAGTGGACTGTGCTAAGGACTAGCCATACTGACCTGGTATCCCCTGATCTGTGGGACTACAAGCCCCAGCTGACGATGGGGACGTGGCATGGTAGATGCTGGGAGTCCAACGCATCTGGGGGACACCAGGTGGGCAAGGCTGTACTGAGTGATTCTGACTTTTGACTCGGGCAGTCATGGGGAATGTCACGAGGCTAATCATATGAGAGATGGCGTGTTTAAGGGACTGAATGCAGAAGAATAGAAAGCACAGAGATGTTGCGCTATGAATCTACCCACACAGGGAATGGAGAAAGATTCTGGGTTTCGTCTTTCAGTGTTTGTCCAGCACACTGACTGGTGCAGTGGGAGCTGAAGCTGAGAAGTATCAAAAGCCATCTTCAGAAATGGAAACCAATACTTTAGTGCTGCAGAGGCTTCCAGTGTCTTTTCTGTACAGCTCTGCTTGTGTGTGTGCACTACTTGTGTTTTAGAGCCGTGAGATTGCAGGTGAAAATACTTGCCTGCATCAAGAAAACAAACATCCCGGCTGGTCTATAAATCCCAAAGATCTATGCTGCACAGAATGTCTAATTGTTTGTATGAGGACTTCTGAAGTGTCTGGATTATGATGAGTCCTGAAATATTTTGACTGCTGGGGAAATGTATCCGTGATTTTTGAACAATATATTGCTAGTGCTGGTAGGATTTATCCGTCTTTATGCTTTTTCTTTAATAATGCTTTTCACCAATGAACCCAGAAGAGACATTCAGGTAATTAACCACTAATTTCCCAGATCTGTTTTGAATCCTTTAAAAAAAAAATGCTGTTACATCAACCATTTGCCAGTCTTCTGGTAACAGTGGCTAACTTTAAGGATATGATGCTTATTGTTTATTAGAAGATAAGCATTTAACATTTGAGTTCTTAAATAACTCTTGGTGGGATAGCATCTGGGCCCAATGATTTACTGGTGTTTTTTTCAATAAGGCCAAAAACCTCTTCCCCAGTTTCAGTTTCTTAGCTATCCCCAAAAACATCCGTTCAAACTCAGGCACAATCTTCTACCTTTAATACCTTTTTAACTCTGTTCTAATCCTGTGGTCATTCCTTTAGACAATTTCCTGCCTCCAACATAATTATTATTGGCTGTAATGGTATTTGTGAAATGCTGCACAATTTTAGGGTATCTCTGCATTGCCCACTTGCATTTCTTTTCTGCAAGTTTGTTTTCCTTTTTGCAATTATTTGTGCAAGGCCGTGGCAGCGTCTTTTCCCCAGGAGCTTCCTTGATATTGTGTATTACCTGTGGTGGCAATTTCTTGGACTTGCTCTAACTTCCTACCCTGCAGTATAATTCTAGCCAAGCTTCTTTTTTGGTGGTTTTGTGTAACTCCAAGCATTGTTACACAATGCTTGGAGATTTGGCACTTCTCTTCCTTTTTACTAGTTCCTATATTTTAGAGAAGAGTCCTCTTTTAAAGTCCTACATGACTGTGTTGGATGCCTTGAAAATTTCCCACATTACATTTGATAGCACTGTGGTCATGTTACACTGAGTCCTAGGTGGCACGATCTGGGAGTAAGTCTAGGATTGCCTTACTCCAGTGGGGTTCGTGACCTGCATGCTCATTCGCGTGCCTCCCTGATTTTATTTCCATCTTACTGTCCCTCTGAGCATTCTGGTCTGGGCAAGTAATAACAGGAACTGAGCACTACATTACTTTGGGAACCTGATGCTGACTTTCACCGCATTTCACAGGACTGTGTCCTCTGTAGGGATTTTTCTCTGCACCCTCTAGTGGTGCATGGAAAGCCTGGAATTGGTGTGGACAAGTTCTTATTTTTATAGGAGTTTGACCAGTGCCGCCCCCTTAGAGCATTTTCCATGAGGTATTTATTGCACGCTTGTGGTTCTTTACTCAGGGTTGTTTATGGGTTCTTGATCCACCAGTGTTGCTCCTGCCTGCCCCCCGCTTGTTTTTCCTTCTTTATGTTTTAGGAATTGAGGAATTGAGTCATTTGTGCCATTCTGCCAAGCACAATGCCATCTAGGGTTTCTCTAGCGGGAAAGGAAAAGTTATTTGGGTAAGAAACCCAAAGTGGCTTACAAGGTTCTCCTCTTTATTTTATCCTCACAACAACCCTATGAGGTAGGTCAGGGTCTGTGACTTGACCCAAAGCTTCATAGCTGAGCAGGGATTTGAACCTGGTCTCCCCAGTCTCAATCCAAATCTCTAACCACTAGGCCCAACATGCTCTTTTAATACAACACTTTGATCACAAGTCAATGATGCAAATGAATATAGATACAGCGATCAACAATTTGTCTAGAAAAGCTCTTTTGTGGAGACTATTGTTTTGCCAGTACATCAGAAAATATCAGTTCGACTAATTTGGCAGTCATACTCCCTTCAGTGCATTCTGGTCTCTCCCCCGCTCCCCTTTGCTGTTTTCCTATGATGCATTCAAGCATCAGTTAACATTCTGCAATTTAATGTGACATTTACTTTTGACATTTCTAGTCAGAAGCAGATTTAAATATAATCCCTATTAAAATCAGCGGCACTTATTTCTGCAGAGATAGCTTTGGGTAGATGGCTTATCTCCAGATAATCAAGGCCAGTTCAGCAGTATTTAAATGAAAAATGAAATCAACTGAGTATTTACCAAATGTTAAGAATATCTGTTATTAGTTTATGCTTGATCAGATACATTTGCAGTGTAATCTCTATGTGTCTATTCAGAAGTAAGCCTCATTGAGTTCCCTGAGGCTTTTTCTCAGGTAAAGTGAAGAACTAAGGTGAAAACTATTTTGATGCTTGCATTTATGACATTACAAACAAAAGGGGGTGGATAGGAGAGGGGAAAGCACAAGTGTTCACTTAAAGGACACAGAAGAAAATGTTAAGACAGAAAATTATAAGGCTGAGATCCTATCCATGTTTAGAAAAAAATAAAACCCTGCAACTCCCATCTTGTGACATTTTTCTGCCTAAATATGCACTGGATTGTGCCCCTAAAAACCTACATTTTGTAGCTGCAACAAGAACCAAGTAATGTTACATTCAACCTAGCATTGATGTCAAAGGCATCTTTGCATGAATAATAAAAATGCATGAGCACAAATATAAACTACAGTCATCCATATGTTTAACCAGGAAGCCACACTGTGTTCAATGTAACTTGGATCCCGTCCCTAGCAGGCGTGGTGCTAGCCATGGGAAAAACCTGGGACTCCCGTCCACAGGGCCCACAAATTGAAAAAGAAAGAAGAAAAATGCACATATTTGCATATGCTAATTTGCAATCTGTGTGTCTTTAAAAAAGAGTCCCCTGCCTCCTTAGGGATCCATTTTTTCTAGAAAGGGACTTATGCACGGGGGGGGGGGTCAATTGAGAGACATTATTGTACCCCCAGGCAGAAATATGCAAAATTGAGGGCAGCAGGAGCTGAAGCCGATCGCCACCTAATCCAGGTGGCAGTAGCAAGAGAGACCCCGGGGGTCCCGGGCCCTGATTTCAGCGAGGGCTCCTGAGCAGTAGGGGGTGACTTGGTGCCCTCCCCAGAGTACGGGCTCCAGCCGTAGCGGGCCCAGCAACACCCCGGCCTCCGGTAAGGTCGTGGCGCAAGCCCCAGGCCGTTGAAGGCTCTTCTAAATAAAATGCACGAGAACCCACTTCCTCGCCGCCTCCGTTTTTGTTCCGGCTGCGGCCTGAGTTCCTACAGGACTACACAGCCCACAGTGCACTGCGAGAGCAGCGGCCGGCGAAAAGAAAGAAAATGAGCACAACATGCCCGCGGGGGATCCTGGGTGTTGCAGTCCAATCCATCTGGAAGGTGCGAGGTTGGTCGGCCGTGACCTCAGCATTCTGCGAGAAACCCTGCGCGGCCACCGTCCATCGGGCCCACAACAAACGGAGCTTCGACCGATCCGGGCCGTTGGTGGCGCAACCTTCCCTGGGAAATGGAGTTCCTCCCGCGGCCCAGCGCTTCGGCGGCAGAGCGGGGCGGGGACTACGTGTCCCAACGTGCACCAGGCTCGGCCGTCGCCGCTCGCTCGTGGACGGAGGCTTTCCTCAGCAGCCCAGGCCGGCTGCTCGGTGCGCGTCGCGGGGCCGCCTCACGCGGAGCTTCGGACCCGGCAACCGCGGAGGCCGCTTGTCGCGTGGCCCCGAGGCGCCCCCGGAGCTCCAGCAGTCGGTGAGTGGAGGCGGTCGGGGAGCGGGTTTCGTTGCTGTCCGGGCCTCTCGCTCCTGCTTTGCGCCCCGCGGTCGGCCGGCCTGCTCGCAGGCTTCGCCCCCACCCCCAATTTGCGACCCGGGTCCCGATCTCCGCCTTCGTGGAGGGTGGGAGAGGGGGTCAGCTTGCGTCTGTACTGTGCCCGCTCCGACGCCGAGGGGGCCGGGAGTGATGAGGAAATGGTGGTCTCTCTCTTCTAGCCAAAGTTCCCTGCACGTAGAAAGCTAGCATGTCAGGAGAAAGGGGTTGTAGAGAGCTTTCCTTGACTTTGCGGTATGTGAGGGAATTTGAACGTGCCACCAGTAAATAAATACGCTTGGCAACATATGGTTGGAAGCCGAGCTCCGTGTGAGAGAACATACGCTCCGCATGCAGAAGGTCCGATGTTGGATTCCCAGCATCACCCGTTTAGACCATCTGAAACTCTGGAGAAATGCTGTCAGTCAGTGTTGGTAGTACTGTACTGGATGGGCCAGTGGTCTGACTCAGTGTAGGGTAGCTTCGTATATTCTTGTTTCCCTAACATAGATGCTTCATTTGCCAATCAGTGTGACGTAGCAGCTAGTTCTGGAATGGGGAGACCTGGGTTCAGAGCCCTACTTGGCCATGAAGTTTGCTGGGTGATGATGGAATAGTCATGACCTGTCTGCCTTACCTTGCAGGGTTGTTGTGAGAATAAAATGGGTCAGGGAAGAAGGAAAAGACATGCATTTGCCCTTGATCTCCTTGGAGGATGGGTGGACAATGAATGTAATCAATAAGCGTGACTTTCTTTTTTACCTGTTAATTTTCAGCATGCACAAAATAATAGCTTTTGCATGGAGCAGCCTTCAATGATACTGAGCCTCCACTTGTCTAAAGCAGCACAGGCTGAACGTGGAATTAACACTGCAGTGAGAAATAGGTTTTTGTCAATCAGCATCTGTACGCTCTCTTTGATCACAGAGTGAGTGAAAAAATGGCCAGGTTATTGAAGTGGGGTTCTGTGTACTAAAAATGCTAAATGCTGTCATGCTTCCCCCATCATCCCTGATCATTGGGCATGCTGGCTTTTGGATGAGTGAATTGTTCAACACCATTGGGAAAATCTGCTTTAAAACATAGGGTGAAGTGAAGGGTGGGAAGACAAGGAAAGTAGGAGAAAGAGAAACAGTACCTTCTTGCCTCCTCATGCTTCTCCCTTTTCCACTTATTTATTTTTATTTTATTTTTTATTTTATTTAGAAAGCTTCCATGCCGCCCCATTCGCCGAAGCCTTGGGGCGGCTCACAACAATAAGCCGCACAACAACAATAACAAGACTTATCAGATCTTATTGTGAACCCTGTGGTCCCGTTCTCACAGACCTTTGTGTGTTGGGGGAGGGGGGTTGCATCGCTTCAGATTAAAGTGGAGGCTTCCATGACTAAAAATTTCTTGCAAATTTTCTACAGGTATCCAATTAGCATGTGTTGGAAGTTAGATTACGATCCTTCTGTCACATGTTTATTTTTCTTGTCTGGATTGTTTTGTTTTTCTGTTAATGTTATTGCAGTCCAGATAAATGTTTGCCTTGAGACCTGGACTTTGTCCATAAAACTCTTCCAACTGACAATTCTTCCTGATGGTTGACTGCACCCCCTACTTTTTCTTTCTGTCCTACAAGTTCCCCCCAAACTGAAGCATCTCGCAGTTTTTATAGTTAACTCCCACACGCATTTTCCACTTTTTTCCGGATATTTTCATGTGCAGGCTCACACACTTTCCAGTCTTGCAATACATATTCAGATCATATTCTGGTTTTATTTTTAGTAATATCAACAAATGTTAGAACTATCCATGATTCTCAGAAGCATGTATTGAAATGTTTGGGTATATACCATAGATCCTCAAACTACGGCCTGGGGTCCGGATCTGGCCTGCCATGCCCATTTATCTGGCCTGCCATGCCCATTTGGACCCACCACGCGGGCGCCCATGCGCTTGCCCGCTGCCCACCTCGCCCCACACACGAGGAGGCAGCGGTTTGCTCACTTGGAGAAAACGATCTCCAAGTGAGCAAGCTGCTGCCTCGTGCACCCACCTTGTGACATGTGCCCGCCTGCGCCTTGCCTCCCCTCACCAGGCGCGCACGCCCTGCCCCTGCACTGGCCCATGTGCACCACCGGCACCACCTTTCTGGCCCACGCCTAGCACTGGCGGCTTTCAACTGGCCCCCTGGTTGAAAAGTTTGAGGACCCCTGGTAGATACTGTTTTGTTGCAGTTTATGCACCCTGATTGGGCATCTGTTCCTGAGAGCTGCCCTCTTGATTATGACTGATGAGCCTAGTGCAGGCTTGCAAACGTGTTCCCTTCACTTGTACAATACAATTTGGATTGTGTTGATCACAGGACATGGATTTTTAAAGTCAGTTTGAATTAGATAGTAGTTTATTTATTAATCATATTTATATCCTGCTTTTTTTCCTTGAAGGAATGTAAAGTAGCTTGCATAATTCTCCTCAATCTCATCAATTTTAAAACTTTTTGTATGTGTATCAGGATTTAGGAAGCCAACTTCAATCTTAATTGTTTTCAAATTGTAGTATTGGGATACTGCAACAAGCATAAAGACATTCTTCACCAAAGAGGCCTGTGCTTAACATATAAATGAGCTGGACATCTGCATCTAGTTGACATATTTCTGGTCTGATCTCACACATATTTGTTTGAAAATAAGGAGCTGAAACTAATAGAAAACCAATAGAAAACAGTGTACAGACTCCCCCCCCCCCCCAAGTACACTGGAGCTGAAACTGAACTTAAAATCTCTTGCTTTTCTTAAGCTGCAACCAAAGCTAAACCTCTAAATAAATATTGTATGAAATAATTCAGAAGAAAAGCCTCAGTAAGTAGAAGTTGAGAAGGTGTTTCTTGGGTCGTTTAGATAGCGCCTCTCTCCCCCTCTTCTCCAATTGTAATGAGGTAGGCAGAAAGAGAGAGAACTATCAGTAAATGGACTGCAGCAGGGGGGAAGTGCTTTGAGATTATCCTATCTCTTTATTTACTTTGATTATCACAAGTGAAGATGAAGAAAACATGACTCTAACTGAATTGTGGGCTCACTTGAAATTTCTAGAGATTTTTCAGAAGACATGGCTTATTCAGATTTATTATTCCTCAAAGTGCTTTGAATGAAGGAACCAAGAGACTTTTGGTCAAAGAAAGGCTCAGAAATAGGCACATCCTTGCCTGGATCCTTCATCAGTAAGTCTTCTCTCTATAAAAGTAAAAAATAAGAACATGAGAATGACCGTTCTAGATAAGATGGAGGTGTGCCAATTTCAGCTTTCTGTTTTCCTCCACTGCAGGAGAAATCCCTCTGAAAGTTCACAAGCAAGACATTGTACCTTTTTATTGTATAGTGCTTCTGGTCATGAAGGTTCTGTTTACCTACCATGGCTAATAGCTTTTGATAGACCTCTCTTTCATGAATTTTTCTACCTTAAAAAAAAGTTGTATGCACTAATAGTGAGCTTAGCAGCTAAATTATGAGGGCTTTGCTGCCAAAGCAAAGCCAGAAGAGGGCAGCACTAACATGTGCAGGTCAAGTCAAGGCTTGCAGAAAAAGAAAAAGAAAAAAAAAACGATTTTAGACCCCCCCCCCCCCCCCAAATCAGTTTCCTCTGGAACTGAAATAGAGGAAACAGTTTCCTTTGAAAATAGCCCCATTAGGACTGAGCTTGTTTGGCAGCCACAGGAGGTTGAGTGTATGTTGTAGGAGAGACAATGGAATGGAACATACTGAAAAGGGGCATGGCTGGCTAGAACACAGAGTAGCAATGTTGCTGGTCTCACTTCTCTATGAACAGTAAACGCATTCTCCCAATATTCTTCTTTAAATAGTCCACCACCCATGTGTAAGAGGCCTGTTATCAGCACGCTTTGTCAAACTGCGCATTTTGTAGAAATGTGAAAACAAGCAACCCCGCCCCCTCCGTTCCTTCCCACTCTTAAAGCAGCCCCACAAGGCCTGAGCTTGCTTAGCGGTCACAGCCTACCGAGTGCCTGTTGTGCTTTTTCCATGGAAAATGGAGTGGTGTTTCCTGGGGAAAAGGGCTCGGCTGGAACCACACACAGGACCGCTGCTCTGGAACATTCTGCATTGAGTTGCATTAATGTATTTATCACCACATGTTACAGAAACCATGTGAAGAAATGCTTTCTTTTATTTATATAGACACAAACCTTCTGCCAATTTAATTTTACTGGTGTTCTGACATTTGAGATTATGGGAAAGGGGAAAAATGTCTGTAGATCTTTGTGGCAGCCCTTTTCCATCTGATGCTAGCATTCTTTGTGTGATGGCTCTTTGCACTTTAGCAGTGGACCCTTCAGTGACGTCAAGGAATGACATGGGCAGGGACAGAGGCAAAAAGCTCCGAGCAACTGTTGCTTTCCTCACAGCTGCATTTTTTGGCTCTGGCCTCTTGGCAGAGCAGCAGAGGCAGAGGCTGGGAGCAAGTGCTGAGTGGCCAGGGGACTGGTGAAGGCGAGGTAGGAGCTGGGCAGGGGAGCAGAGGGCCAGGAGCAGCAGAGAGGAAGGGGGCGAGGCCAGAGGGGCCGGGAGGGAGCAGTGGGTGGGGTGTCGTCCCTTGTCTGCGTCCCTTAGCTGCGGTCCGGGCTGTCAGGAGACTCCCTTCCCTGAGACACAGAGGTTTGATTGTTTGTTTTTGTTTGTGCTGTGCTGTGCTGTGCTGTGCTGTGCTTTGCTTTGCTTTGCTTTGTTTTTCTTCCAATTTAAGTTTATTTTATCCTTGTGTTCGTGTGTGAGTGGGTTTTCGTCTGGGAGAACTGGGCGAGTGAGAGAAACAAGGCAGGGGACCAAGGTAAGGTCTTGGAAGGGATACCGATGGCAGACCAGGAGATGGCCTTGGTGGGAGTCACGGGTGTTGCTGTCCACTGTTCGCCCTTCTCCCCCAGGAGAGGCAGGGTTACACTTGCCCTCGGTGCAAGATGGTGACCCTGCTAGAAGAGGAGGTGAGGTGCCTGAGGGCTGAGAGAGCTCTCCAGGGCCCCCCAGAGCAGCCCCCCTCTGGACAGAGGGTTGAGGGAGAGGCCACGGGAGGAGCAGCTGCGGAGACACGGAGGTATGTCACCCACAGGAGGAGGAGGCCAGCATGGCCTCCTCCTTCTCCTGGCACCAATCTGGACCTAGGAAACAGGTTCTCTCCACTTGGGGAGGCTGGGGCTGATGAGGCCTCGGGGAACCAGCAGGACCCCCAGCCTGGGACGTCAGGCGGCAAGGGGGCCGCTGCGAGAGAGGCGAGGGCCAGGGCATGGCCGCCCACCAGCACCGGGAAGGTACGGCAGCGGGTGATTGTTGTTGGGGACCCCCTGCTGAGGGGCACTGAGGCGGCAGTGTGCTGCCCCAACCTGGAGACAAGGGAGGTTTGCTGCCTGCCGGGCTCATGCATCCGGCATGTGAAGGACAGAGTGGAGCATCTTGTTCGCTCCGGGGGTCACCAGCTGCTCCTGGTGATCCATGTGGGCACAAAGGATGTGGCCAGGCAGGGTGTGGTTGGGACCACCAGGGACTTTGAGGCCTTGGGGAAGAAACTCAGGGAGCTGAAGGCCCAAGTGGCCTTCTCATCAATCTTACCTGTCCGGAGATTTGGCCAGGAAGGGACAGGAGGGCCTCCGAGGTGAATGACTGGCTTAGGGTGTGGTGCCAGAAGGAACGCTTCGGGTTCCTCGACCACGGCACTCATTTTCTTGCCAATGGACTTCTGGCAAGGGACAAGTTACACCTCACGAGAATGGGGAAAAGGTCCTTTGGAGATGCTCTAGTGAGCTTCGTCCGGAAGACTTTAAACTGAGCCGGGGGGGGGGGTTCAGGCCCCCC